TTCCTCCACAGCGGGAAGCTGTTCAAAGCCAAAAGCAGCAAAGAGCTCTACGGCTTCCTGTTCAACGACTTCCTGCTGCTCACACAGGTGAGTCCTGCACCTCTGTACAGTTTACATGTTTAGTTTCTTGCCTTAAATCCATCTTTTATGTTGTACATGTCTGAATGTGGCTGGGCTGGTACTGACGTAGCATCTTTCTACTCAATTTAAAAAATGACCCTCACAGGTGACCAAACCTCTGGGCTCGTCAGGCTCGGACAAAGTCTTCTCTGCAAAGACGCACCTGCAGTACCGCATGTACAAGACGGTAAGACTACACAATCTCTTTCTCCAGAGAGACTCGCTGTTAAACCTGCCCTGGGTTATGTAGTGTGAGCTGGATAAACATGTCCTAACTAAGGTTTGTGTTCACTCTCAGCCAATCTTCCTAAATGAGGTGTTGGTGAAGCTGCCGACAGACCCGTCGGGAGACGAGCCTCTGTTCCACATCTCCCACATAGACCGAGTTTACACGCTGCGAGCCGAGAGCATCAACGAAAGGTGAGACGCTTCACGGTCCAGACTGAGCGAACAGGAAATGCCTGCAGTCAAACTCTCAAAGCTGAAAGTCACTCTTAATCTAGGATTAGTGGATTCGCTTTAAGTTTAGGTCTGTGAGTAATAACATGACTGCCTCACAAGTTAGCAGTGTCTTCAGCTGTGTGTATCATTGCTAGTCTCTAAATGTGTGTGTGTGTGTGTTTATTCAGGACGGCGTGGGTTCAGAAAATCAAGGCAGCTTCAGAGCTCTTCATAGAGACGGAGAAGAAGAAGCGGGAGAAAGCATATCTAGGTACCTGTCCCACTGAAATAAACATCCTCAGATTGACCATGATCAGAAATGTCCTCTGACTCCTCCATGTCTCTGTGCCTCAGTACGTTCCCAGAGGGCTACAGGTATCGGGAGACTGATGGTCAACATTGTGGAGGGAATTGAGCTCAAACCCTGTCGCTCCCACGGTACGTGTGAACTCCTTTTAACTAAATTTGGAAAAGGAAAAACGTTGATTTCAGTTATTGGTTATACATAAGTTCTGTTCTTCCAGGAAAAAGCAACCCGTACTGCGAGGTGACCATGGGCTCCCAGTGCCATATCACAAAAACATTACAGGTAAAACATTACAGGTCTACAGGCAGGCGTTCATTATTATTCCATATTTCAGATTCATTGACTTTTTCATAATAAAACGTATTAATTCATAACGATTGACAGCTCAGTCACAGCTACAGTACACCACTGCAGTGCTGGTTCACTGCTGCAGGGACACAAATATGTCTGCTATAATTTATATTTCACACCATCGTTTTGCTGTTTTCTCTCTTTTTCAGGACACTTTGAATCCAAAGTGGAATTCCAACTGTCAGTTTTTTATTAAGGACCTGGAACAGGACGTCCTCTGTATCACTGTGTTTGAACGAGACCAGTTCTCGCCTGATGGTCAGTGATAGTCGCACGCTGATTTAAATCCCTTCATTTCACGTTCCCTGTCCTTTTCAGGAAGTATGAGTGGTTTTGTTTTCTGTCTGTTTATCATCCTCTTTGCCTCCAGACTTCTTGGGCAGGACAGAAATCCGGTTAGCGGAAATAAAGAAGGACCAGGGCTCTAAAGGACCAATCACAAAGAGGCTGCTGCTCCACGAGGTTCCTACGGGAGAGATCGTCGTTAGGCTCGACCTTCAGCTGTTTGAAGAACCGTGAAACCTGGACGGGGCCACGGCGGACTGGATTGGCCCAAAAAGGACCTGTAGGAGATGATAGTTTGGACTGGACAGCTTAGATGGATTAGACTGGACTGGACAACTGGACTGGTCTCAAATCTTTATTTCTCCGCGTGTACGTCTGAGCTTTTTATATCCAGAGAGAAAGGATCAGTTAGCTAAGGGTACAATGATGCCATTACTAAACATCTTCAAGTTTAAAACAAAAAGGAATAACTTCATGAATTACCAGCTGGAGAAAGGACCTTCACATGCACACAAAAGCCAAAGTGGCTGAAAATGTGTGTAACTCCATTTCAGCTCCTAAACATTAAAGACAAGCAGCAGTTAGGGTCACCATGGCAATCCTGAGCACGCCTCTTGAAAAACACATCACCGCCTCCAGTCTGTGCCTCCTATCGACCTGCTTACACACCGTGGCTGCGGCAAGAAGACTCTCCACAGCGTTTCTGTTTCTGTCAGATTTCCATTCGATTCTGTGCAGCAGGCGGCGCTCCTGTGAGTCTGAGGCCTCCATAGTCAAAAGATAGAGCAGACACATGATCCCATGTTCTGCTTATAGTCTGGATCAGCTCTAGTGGGCTTGGTGTTAGATTACAGAGAGGGTTTTTAGAAGAACTTCCTCCCTCAGTCGAGATGAACATTACGCCCATTCATCTGACTGAGATTGCATTAATATATGTGAATAATACAAATATTAATGCATTTTTAGCCACTAACAATAATATACTCTATGCTGGGATTTTTGCTTTGCAGCAATCACACCAAATATGTGACACACTGATATAAAAATAGAGATGAAGTGGACTGGGATCATAAAAAGTTGGTATGAGATTCTTATCATTTCTGGCTTATTCATTTCAGTGGAGAGGGTAAATAAAGAGCTCAACATCCAAATGAGATTTATAGATTTTATTCATCTAAATCTAAATTTGTGTGGATTTTTTAAATGTCACATACACGTTCACGTCTTAAATCTGGTGTGCTGGTGCTTCCGTGGTTAGAGATTGGACCGTTTCAGCAGGTCTGTCCTGTGATCTGACATTTAAAGAAGCAGCTCGACGGGTTTTCTAGTCTGCAAATGGTTCTCAGTCACGTTGGTACCACTGAGAAGTGAAAATCCGAGACCTGGTCCAGTCCAGTCCAGTCTGCTTGTGCCCCCTCCCTCCTTCAGGACCGGTCCACGTCAGTATTTAGTCGAGTCTTGGAGAAGATCAGTCAGGTCTTTACTGTCTCCTCTCCCTCTGCTTCATCCAGACAGTCTCACAAACACTCCAGCGACAATCCCAGCCCTCCTTCTTTGTCCAACCAAACCCAGACCTTTATGTGAGAGAGTGTGTTTGTGTGTCTGTGAGAGTGTGTGCGTGTGTGTGAGGCAGACGGCCGATGCGAATGACGGTACGAGTGTAAAGATGGACAGGCTAACTAAAAGCACGGTTCAGTCTCCACGCATTTTTACACAGAGTCTCTCAGAGTCTTATGATCAACTCTTTGGGCTTCGGCTCATGTGAGGGGACATTTTTTATAATTTCGCTCAGTTTGGACGCTCACTGAACGCTCGCCACGTTATCTCAGAAAGTGCTAATATGTACAGGTTAAATGAGAAATCCTAACGATGCAAAATAAGCTGAAGATATAGAGACCCTGATATATGACTGGTGTAAATACATTACAGACAAGATGTCCCCTTCACATGCGTCTGTGGTAATAATGCTGATAATAAGACAGGGAACAGGCGTGAAAGCTGATTTAAACTGAGGTACTGTAAAGAAGAATGTCTTAACTGTTCAGGGTGTTTTTGTTTTTTTGTTTTTATGTATATGTGGGGGGGTCGCAGATTTAGACGATTTCTGTCACACATCTGAACTCTGATGTTATGTTGCTGCTGTGTTGAGCTGTCACAGTGGCCGTCACTATGCAGGGAGGGTAAACCCTGAGGGATTTCGAGGGCCCGCCGCTGGACTGGGGCCCTCGAGCAGGCTCCGTAGGGCACAGATGTATTTTATAGGAATAGCATTTTGACCATTTTCACAGTTTAACCCTATGAAAAGCTCAGAGTAGAAACAACGGTACTGTGCGTCGGCACTCCCAGCACTTTGAAAAGCAGATTTTGGAGCAGAGCAGGACACGAATCTCCTGAATTTCACCCAGCAGCTGTTTTGGGTAATCAGAGCAGGAAGTCTAATAAAAAGAGGCACTCAAACAATGTGTTTTTATTAAAGTCTTATCATTTTAAAGACATTTTAATGAAGATAAGCAAACTGTACTTGAGCCCAAAGGTGGATCCCAGCAAATAAAAGAAAGTCAGGAGTGAATTTCAGATGCAGTCGTTGGATTTTCTTCTTAAATGAAGAGAATGTAAAAAGAAAAGAGTGATCTGCACAGACTGCTACCATTTTTGTTCAGCATAAGAACTTTATATTTAAAGTAATGGCAATAACTGTGAAGCTGTAATTTGTGGACTGAACTTATTGTCCAAACTATATCTTCTTTCAAAAACTGTCCCAATGTTTCAATTTCAAGCACACTTTGAAATGAATACTTCTCTGATCTTCCTCCTAAAGTTTCCTCGAGCTGATTATTCAAAACGGCGGCTGCGTTCGCCGACAAGGCCGGAAACATCGCCTAGCTAGGTTGCTTAGTAAGATTGTAGATAAGTTAGTTAGCGAGCCACTCGGCCGGTTAGTAAATCTAGTTAGGTGTTTTAATTTAGTGCCAAGTTACAGTAATGTTCTAAATTACCACGAAGACAACAGTTACCTTAGTGACCAGCCACTGTCCAATCAGAAGTCGGCGAGGCTCGGGCAGCTTCAGCAGCTTGACTATGGAGGAAGGTGTGAACGAATGTTTGTGTTTCCCCAGACTGAAGCTGATGATGATGATGATGAATGATGATAAAGCTGTCTTACACCCCTCTGTACTGTCCTGCTCAGCCCCTCTCGCCTCCTCCTCTCCTCACTGTACTGAAACTAACCCAATCCAGTTTGAACCTAACTGTCTACCTTCCAGGTTGTGTATAATACTGCTGTTATCTGAGAGTTAATATATGAGCGATAAAGGCAGCCTGCTGTTAATTATCACTGTAGAAGATGATGTACGTTGTTGTCTTTCGGTGTTCAGAATAAACTTCAGTTGGACCAAGAACTGCACTGCCTGTGCTGCTGTTTTCATTATGGATTTAACTACTTGTATGATCCAATCATAGACTGTAACTAAAAGATGTATGTACAGGACTGTGCAAAATTCTTGAGCCACCATTAATTTGTTCAATGTTTTGCTAGGAAAATGGGGCACGGATGCAGTCATGCACAGAGACAGTATATGAGGCAAAAACTGTTCTCACGAGCTTGAAAGTCGATATCTGGTGTGACGATCTTCATTCTCCGACAGCCTGAACTCTCTGAGGCAGCTTTCTGTAAGCAGTCTTCAGGAATTTTCTCTGGGCTTCTGGAAGGATATTCAAAGCTCTTGGCATGTTGGCTCGCTCTTTTATTTATTATTGTTCTTCAATAAAGCTAATGTCTGTGCAGGTTTAAAGTAAAAATGTATGTAGAAAAGCAATGATGCTTCTCAAAGCATCCTAGTTCGGGCACTGCATGCAGATCTGGCTTTGTAAAAGGCACTCAGATTTCTAACATGTTCTTTTTATTTATTTTTACCAAAAGAAAAAAAGAAAGAAAGCAGTGACTTTGAAAAGAAAGCAAAATAATCTTCGTAACATACCTGATAATTGTTTATAATGTGTAATAATTATAGTGGTTTCAAATACATTTTGCACATCATACTAGATTATTTGATCGCAGTGAAGTGGTGGTGGGGTTAATTAGAGCAAACATAAGCACCTAATAGCACATCAACCGATCTGCGTCTGACCGCAACATTTGTTTGGATGTGTTTGAACTATTTCAGCTTTTACTTTGAAAATACCAGGAAATAAGCAAATTCTTTATGCAATCATTGTTAGAAAAAAAGGGGAAAAAAAACAGGCAGAACGACAACTGAGCTGAGCGCGTGAGACAGTCAGCAAAAACACACTGAAGCAAACTTTATTTAAACCGGCCCAGGTAACAGCGGTGCAGCAGGAGAGGGAGGCTCGGGACATTCAGTTCTTTCACAGAGAGGGAGGAAACCCCTCAGGATCACTTCCCAAACACACACTGGGAATATTTCTCCAAACTTCTGATAGATTTCATTTAAACCAGCATGGCTGCTGCGCTGTTCAGAGCTGCAACAGGACTGAGTGTCAGAGTAGGTATACTTTATTTTTACATTTATTCTGTAGCTGATAGAACGAGTTTGTGTCTGCAGCTTCTCATTACTTTACAGCTGATTAACAGCCTGGCATGCACACAACACACACACACACACACACACAACACACACAGATAACAAGTTTTAGTTTTATTGAGAGGCCCCACATGAAACCGAATCATTTTATTGTAAATGAGTCCAGTTTAGATTAACTGGGTTCTGGTTTTCAGGCTCATGAGAAACGCTGTGTTCTGATAAAGATGGCAGTGGCGCTCAGTCACGGAGTCTGAGCATGGTTTTATACTAAATAACTGCAAGTATTTAGACTAATCATTTTACACAAGTTAACCAGTCAAATTGGATCGTGGTTATTGTTTCATAAGCTGGAGATCATTTATGCAAGTAGTTTAATATCTGCATATTAAATAACTCAGACTTTAAAGCTGCTAAATGTTTGTAATGTGCAATAAAAAGTAGGCGCAGACATTTGCAACATATTTCTATCTGCACTTAGTTGTATATACAATTAGACTTTTTACCACTCATGTTTTCGTGATTTTGTTTACAATACTGCTTATTATTTCCACTACTGTAGCAAATGCAATGAAATCTCATTATGTGCACTGTAAGGTGGAAATTTGAATTTAATTAAAGTTCTTCTGGCTACAGTTTGTAAGATAAACTGTTACCACCAGGGGGCAGTGTTTTACCAGTGGGCGTGTAAAATGTTCTCAGACCTGTGCTACTATTCAGGTTCTTTTTTTTTTTTTTTTATCCCTTTCCATTTTTTGTGTTTGTCTTTTCCAAGGCCATCCTGGAAATGAGAGTGTGACGTAATTTGGGTTTATGTCAGGAAGGGCACCCGACATAAAACTGCCAAATCAAACAATTGGTGACCCCATGTAGCAAGAGGGCATGAAGATGGGCTGTTTTAGATGTTACTGCTACTCTCAAACTTTTTGAGAGATGTTTTTTTAAATTATTATTGTGTAAAATGCTTCTTAAGCTTAAGGTTTTTCAAAATTTTGAGGCTAAATATCGGGTACTATGGCTATTAATCGCCTATTAATCCCAAATCAGATGAATGGGGGAAAACACTTCCATTTAACTTTATTTCGTGAAAATAACTAAAAATTTCGAGTCATGGATCCTTTGTTTTTGTGGTGGAAACGGGCTTCCATAAGATTCTGTTAATATTATATCAAAAAAAATTGTGATGGTGTTTCTCTCTTATTTTTATATTATATTTATGGACAACAGGCAAAGATTGTTTCAGAAGCAGAGCGAGATAAGTTTCAGTTTATGCAATATAAGCATTTTCTCTCGTGTACTGAGTACTATTACAACACATAACGCCCATTGTAAGAATAAAATACTCTAGTCCCACCTCACAGGCCCTTTTTAGGCACGGTCTTGAAAACCATTCACAGCAGATGGATGCCCCTCCCTTCAGCTGGCGGCTTCTTCCTGCTAAAAGGCAGTTTTTCCTTCCCACTGTTGCCAAAGCATCTGCTTATAGGGGGTCATATGAGTGTTGGGGTTTACTCTATTTTCGTTGTTAATTTTAGGGTCTTATAAATACATAAAATTGAATTGAAAGTAAATGACATTAAAAAAATGACAGTTTAACAATGAAATGTGAGCATTCATGATTTATGTGTGGTTCTGTATGTGTGCATGTTCAGCGGATCCACGGGGAGTTTTGTAGAGTGATGTGGACGCCACAGGCTGCTCGGTTCAGCTCCAAACCATCAGACAGAGACCCGCCACGCAGAACGCACATCAGTAAGAAAACACACGTCCTCTCCTTTTGTCTTCTTTTGGCAGTCTAGACAGAGGCTGGAAACAAGGTCACAGAGAGAGACAGACAAAGAAAAGTACAGTATGCAGCAAAGGTCGCAGCAGACGAAGGGTATAGGAGTTGATTTTGGGGGTTATTACACTTCCTGTTGTGCAGAAATTGCCTGCAACTAAAGATAGTCCTCAGTGAATAGGAATGAGTGTGATAGCTTAAAACAATTACATCTGTTTCCAGTCAAAAGTTCCACATTTCATGCAACTGCAGTATAAAAATCCTCTAAACAAAAGTAAAACAGCTCTCATGTACTCCAGCCTTCCAGTCTCCAGTTTTAGTTTCCCTGACAGGGAAGACGATTTTGCATTCTGCTAATGCGTGCTGCGTGGCCTGTTAAGAATGCATGACAGGACACATTCTTTTGATGGTATTCGTCTGCAAAAAATAACTACACGTTAAAGGTTTAATTAAACCACAACATAAACGTGCGTCTGTATAAGAAGCAGGTGTTTATGGTGGGCGAAGGTTACTTCTAAAAATCAAAATGGTGCTGTGGTCTGATGTCCATAACACTAACAAAAAGTACTGCTATGTGCTACTCTAGAAACTTGTTAAAATCTAATAACATAACTGTATCTGTTATCTCAGCTCCTGCTTTGATAAAATATGAAGAAGATTATTTACCCCACGGAATAGAAACTGCTCACAGTCTTCTCTCTGCTGACAGAGAAAGCCAAGGCCCAGCCTGCAGAAGAAGCTGATAAAGTTCTGGACAAATTCTTCTCTGAAAGGAGGCCAGCCACAGCGCCCCCTGCTGTTGGTGAAGGTCAGTACATTCAGGATGTGCTTAGTCAGGGTAACAGTTGGTAGACACGACTTAGTGGTGTAATAGTGGTGTAATTAATTCACTGTAAATATATGAGTAAAATGTTTCTACAAACAGCTTTTTTGTGCTGCTGCTTGGTTAGGAAACCAAAATGTATCCATTAAAAACAGAATTGGGAGTTTTAGGAGGGCTAATGGAACAGTCATCATCTTAAGATTAGTACAATCTGATTCAAAAAGCTGAAGTGGGTATCAGTGAAACTAGCTGATGTATTCAGATCTGTGTTACGCTCTGTTTATCATGGCAGGAGAGCTCATATAGCATAGCGGACGCTAACAGTAAAGGGTCTAAATTTGGCAGTAATGACTGCGTGCAAAAACAAAAACATTTCTTCTTTCTTGTATGTTTATAAAATTTTTGGCTACATGCATAAACCTGTCAGAGTAGTATATAGAGTATGATAAAGGTAGTGACAAATTCCTGCTTGCTTGCTACTGAATCACCTAAAAGAAATCCATTATTTCTACACAATAATTAACAAAAACCCAGGAAAGGTGAGAAGGTTTCACTCTGGTTAAAGACTTTTTTTCTTGCAGAGCTTTCCAAAGCTTCCGCCATGATAAATACCAGCTCAGCCCAGGATCCACATGAAGCAGCTAACAGAGACTCTTTGGAGAAAGAAGAGGAGAAAGCCAGCAAAGCAGAAGCCATGATACCTGAGTCAACTTTAGCAGAAGTGAAGGCTGATGTGGGGAGTCTTGAAGCTGACGCTCTGCAAGAAACATGTGACTCGCTCCAGAAGGGAGCTGAGGAGCTAGCAAAAGAGTTGGAAGTGAAGATGCCAATAGAAGATGTTTCTGTTTCTGAAGGTGCAACAGAGGTGGACAATTTAACACTAGATTCCATCCCTGAAGCTGCGGATACACTGGAAGCTGAAACATCAGCAGTCCCTGAAGCTGTGATTGGATCTGAGCAAGGACCGATACAGTCGTCTGACACTGACCAGGAACTGAGACTAAATGATGGGGTGATCAATCAGAACAAAGAAAAAGGGGCAGCGGAGCCCGAAGGAAATGTTTTGGAGGCCATGTCTCTTGAGTCTGTGACCTTGGCTGAAGTTGAGGTGTCTTTGGGAACTCTGGAAAGCGAATCTCTGAGTGAAACCTCGACTTATCTGGAGAAAGAAGCTGCAGTTCTTGCTGTAGAGAAGAAGATGGAGGTAGAGGAGGAAACCACTACCAAAGAGATGACTGAGGCTACACACGCTGACCCTCTGTCTCTGCCTGAAGTCGCTTCTCTGCCTGAAGATGTGCAGACTGATGCACTGATGGAGAAGCTGCTCTTTACTGTTCCTGCTAGTGTAGAGGGTGCACGAGAGAGCCCGATTATTGAGGAGGCTGTAACAGCAGACAGTCCGGATGGTAAGTTAAACTCCTGTGAGCGGTGAAGCGATGGTAGAAGAAACAGCTTCTTAAAGGCAAACTGATATTTGGTACGTTAGTTGGTTTTCTTACCAAGAGCTAGATCCAGGAGAGTCACATTAGTTTAACTGAAATCCAGTTTGAACACACACAGCACGCGTTAACGGGGCAAATCTCTGTTAGCGAGTAAATGCGGATCGCCCCGTGTGCGGGGCTGCACAGCATCAACGCGTTAGCGCTGTAGGCTCGTTAACGCGTTAGCGCCGTGCAACCCCACGCACGGGGCGATCCGCATTTACTCGCTAACAGAGATTTGCCGTGTTAATGGAGTTATGGCGTTAACGTCATTTTAACGAGATTAACGCTGACAGCAGTACTTCTTAAAGGTTAAAGTTTCAGAGCTTGGGTTTGACTTTAGCCATGGATCTAAAGTGGAGAAAATAAATAAATAAATAAAATGGGATCCAAAATTAATCCGTGCGGTACACTACAAATGTGTGAAGATGAATAACACTAGATAACATTTCCAAACATTCAACTTACATATTCATTTAAAATAAGTAAAAATTAAACTGTAAATTGTCATTTGTCTTCAGTATAGGAAATAATTAAATGCTTAATATTTATTAGCTGGAAAAACAGGACAAATGGTTGTTATTACATAAAGTGTCATGTTTCGGCTGTGTGCAGGCAGGAGAAGGACCCAAACGCAAAACTCACGACAACAAAATTAAACTCAAAAAGCTGCTTTATTGCAGAATGACATGGAAAAACTAAACTAAACTAAACTAAACTAAGACATGGATAAACTGACACACAGGGAAACACAGCTATGAGGGAGACTATGACACTGTCAAAGAGAAACACAGGGCTTAAATACACTGAGGGATAACGAGGGAATGAGACACAGGAGGAGAGCACAGCTGGGAGTAATCAGGCTGGACGAGACAAGGGAAGCAAAACTAGAAACACTGACATGAGACACGGACCTTCAAAGTAAAACAGGAAACACACTGACTGAACTCTAAACATGTAAACTTAACAGCAACTGGGGAGACAGAACATAGGAACCTGAAACATGGTACAGAAAGGCACAGTAGACACAACATGGAACACAGTGAAGCCATATTACAAGAACTAAGCCTATGATAACCATAACTGAAACCTAGGGAAATAATAACTATAAAGATCAAAACAGCACAACCCACATGAACATAATGAACTCACAGGGAAAGAGTAAAACTAAATACAGTGAACATAGAAGCACAAGACCTCTTCAAAATAAAACAGGAAACATAAGACGCAGACATGACAACCTGAACTAGACAATGTAAGACACAGACATGAAACACATGAAGGGCAAGGGAGACTTAACAGGGGTTGGAGGACACAAGGGGAATCTAATAACAAAGAACTATAACAACCTAGGCATGATAAAAACTTAGAAAACCTAAAGGGCTTAAATATGAACATAAACTAAAACTCCAAAACGCTGGGCCATGAGACCCAGGATCGTGATATAAAGTGGTTACCTCTGGTGACAGAGTAGGCTCTTTTTAGAGGTTAATAATGAAATCAATGAAATTAAATGTACTTGATGCCAACCCACCTTATAAGATGACATTATCTCCACCATTATTTTCTATTTAAGTGAAGCCTCACACTCAGTTTACAAACCAACTGAAATGTGGTTGGATTTCAGAAGACTTGTTGGGACTGACTTCTCACCAGCATCATGTCAGTGGTAACAACGACTCAACTATTATGTTCTCCAACTGGGAACACATATTTCAAGAAACTCCCTTTTTGCTTTGTATGTAGTGTTATGAAGCTTAAGGGCACAGTGCTTATACTGCTGTATGTATGATGATGACTAAGGTTTGTATACAAATACCATATAATTCATTCGTAATACTCCTGTATGGGGGCTGATGGATGTTGTGGGGTTAAACGTAGTTGAAAACACTTAAATATAAACTCTGTGATGAAGACCTTCATTCAAACTTTGACAAAAGCAGATAAAAGGCAGGAAGGGTTTTCAGTTTTTCTATAAAATTCCAAGGAATGTGTCAACTAAAGCTCTGGACCTATGTACTTTACACTGTCCTGTTTCTTCAGTTGTAACAGCTTCTGTTGATAACGTGGCTGCAGAGTCAGATCATCCTCCAGCTCCTCCTCTTCCTCTGAAAGAGGAGCTGCTGGTACAAGAAGAGGAAAGAGCCACAGGAGATAAAGAAGATACAGGGACACACACAGGTAAAGAGCACAGACATATACAGCTATAAGGTGGTTTGTCTACATTAAAGTACATTTTCTGTCCTTATGGTGTCTGTGTTTTGTTGTCTCACTTTGATCATGCTGTATTTTCCAATGACCAGTATCAGCTGGGAGTCAGAAAATGTTGTTTTAATGTGTGTTTTTCAGATTTGGATCCTGTGCAGAGACTCTTCCTGGAGAAGATCAGAGAATACACTAACATGCACAGGTAGAGAGATAAAGAGTTACAGTTGAATTTAATAGGAAAAACATTTAGAGAGTCTACATTACAGCTAGAATAACCAACACATTAATTATTGTACATTTCCTCAGAAGCTTTATCCACACTACCAGATATAATTATCTGTCTGAATCCCATTATCAGAAAATCAACCGTAATTACATTTTCTCTAAGTGTCTGCCAGGTATTGGCCACATGTGGACTGTTTATTCCTACTGTTTGTTCCATGCTACATGTATTCTTATTTAACTTTGAGTATTCCTTTCCTCAAACTGTGTGAGTGAAACTCTTTAACTGGAAGTAAGCCATGTAAAGAGACATCAGCTGATTTGTCATCTCACTCTTTAAGGTCGAATGCAGGATTCCTGGAGGCGGAGCCAGATTACCAAAAAAACCTGTCAGAGGAGACGGCTAAGCTCCAGAGAGTGTATGGAGGAGGAGACCTCAGCAGCTTCCCTCAGTTCACCTTCAATGGTGAGAGTGATGATGAAGGGAGTGATGGGGAATGCTCAGTGACATGGCATTGTGGAGTGTATGAGAAATCCACCTGGACTGTGTATAAAGTATAACGCCGCTCTGTTCCAACCTTTTCAGGTGGCAAATTGCCCTCATAAAATAGATTCATGAATGGGAAAAAATTGGAGCTGTACTGCATGATTTGGGGATCTGGCTTAAATTAAAGTGAGGAGAGACCCTGGGACAGGACCAAGACATACTGCATTCATATCCCCCAGAAGATCTGCGGGTGGTGGCTGAGTACAGGGAGGTCTGAGTGTCTCTACTTAGACTGCTAGATGGATAAGCTGCAGGTTGTAAAATACAGCGTGTTGTCACATAAATCTGATTGAGATCCTTAATTCCAAATATCACATTGGTGGATACCTAATCACAGCAGCAGCTAGAAGTATGATGGGGAAAAACAGAAACATCCACCCAAAAGGGGAGAATTTCAGTTCAGTTTTATTCACATAGTGCCAATTTGCAACAACAGTCACCTCAAAATGTTCTTTATTGTAAGGTGGAGACACTACAATGAGCAAGAAGTTGGTGACAGTGGAAAGTAAAAACTCCCTTTTAACAGGAAGAAACCTCCCTTTGATTTATAGTAGGAATACAAGAGGAAAACTTTTTTTTTAAAAGCTGTTTAAAATGTATAGAAATGCTTAGAATATCTCCCTGTGGAGATGATTCTCTTTGGAATCTTATGATGTTGCTGTTCTGTAGCACTGCTAATGATGGGCAGTAACATGACAAAAATGTTACAAGATAATTAAAAGAAATTAACACACTTCTGCTGTTTTCTCTCTAGATCCCAAATTGGACCAGGAGTCCAAATGATCTGTGAATGGTGCCTCCAACTCTCTACACTCTTCCTCAACCTCTCCCTCTCCATTAACTCCTCAATTCATCTTTATTCCAAGGAAGAAAAAAGAGGAAGCATATGCATTGAAATCTAACGGTGTGGTTCTCTGGCTAAAATGTGGGGAACGTGTTACTTGTGGGTGTTTGTTTTCTGTGTGATGTCCAGTACTGAAATTTATTAGATTAAAACACAAAAAAAGCATTTTTTTAATGTTCAGCAGCGTGTGTGTGTGTGTGTGTGTGTGTGTGTGTGTGTGTGTGTGTGTGTGTGTGTGTTGCAATTAAAGTATAACACACAATGCCTCATTGAACAGCAGATGGAGCTGTCAGCCACATCGCTCTCATTTGGCTCCATTTATCTTCCATATACCTCTCTGTTTCTGCACCTTACACCCTCACATTTCTCTGTATTCTCTGCATATGTGAGCTATCTTTTTCTGTGTTGCCTCTCTCAGTTTTGGCATGTGGTGACAGAAGCAGCACTTGTCACTTCAAACCCCCTGCCCCCACCCACCATCCCTCAGTCACGACTCTGTCATAGAGATGGTGTGAGTCATAAAACGCCAAAAAAAGGAACACAGCACCAAACTACAGCCTAAAAAAAAATCCAAATCCTAAATTTTGCTCTTGCTTTGGCCATTTACGTGTTAATCATTTATTTTACACTGCATCTGAATAATAAGTTAATGTAAAATGTTGTCTATAATAATTCGGCTGTATATAGAATATAATTAAATAGAACTAAATAGAAAAAACAAGAGCTCATTCATTCAAATCCAGCTGTGCTGACGGGGATGCGCTAGTGGTGTTGACGTCAGTCGTTAGGCGGTCACACAGAATGCCTGTGTAGAATTACGGCGAGCGCGCGTGCGTGTATGTGTGTAAATTTTGTCCATGCTGCGCGCGACCGTTTGTTTTGCCTGGGTCAACACATGAAGGACTTTAATATCAACACTGCACAAAGTACACACAGCGCTTACCGTAAATAAAACGGTTCCCGCTGTTTGTGTGTGCGCGCGCGTGTGTATCATTGGCGTATCCGCGCGACACCCCTCTCTCCACCTCCCGACGTCACCGCTCTCCATCACTCGTTAAGGGCTCCGGCTACAACCAGCGCTCACACAGACGTACGCGCGCGCACAGCCGCTAGCCAGTAGGCTAACTACCGTTTCCTCTTTCCCTACCGGCGGTGCGGTCGTTGCGTTCAAAGTGTGTTCTCCCGGTGTTGTTATGTGAAGACGTGACTCTCGTCGAATAACGGAGAATATTTATCTGCATCTCTTCCTCGGCTGACCGGGAGCCGCCATGGAATGCCGCGTCCTGTCCATACAGAGCCATGTAGTCCGGGGATATGTGGGCAACAAGAGCGCCTCTTTCCCGTTACAGGTAAATACAATTTGCATGCACCCGTTTTCGGACAACGAGCGACCAGACGCTCGTTATCGGACACGACCCTGTCTGACGTGTTTCACTGCCCTTTGCCAGCAAAATCCGACTGCGGCACTCTTATCAGCGCCAAACAGGAACGTGTAAATGGCTAATTAGATGGTGGAAAGTTAGTACAGTCTTGGATGCGTTTATTTATGGCTCCGGTTAGTTGTAATTTCCCAGCTGTGAGAGTGAAAAACGGACATAATCGACGGCGATGTTAGATGTGCAACGAGAATCTAAAAATAACTGTGTAGTAGCCCAGATATTGAGGGACAGCCGCGACGACAGGTGTCGTGCATAATACCTCCCCCAAACCTGTGCATCCTTATCAGAGATGGGAATGTTAATCAGCAGAGGTGTTTTTTTTCTACCAGCGTCTTCGTTATTTGCTCATTTAGCCACCAAATGAAGAGGAAAGTCGTTATCTGCTAGAGAAATTGCGGCGCGACACATGTCATTGAGGGTGTCCGATAATGGAGCAAGGTGTTCTTCATCATAATCCGTGGAGAGAAAACACGAGGCTGTAGAGCAAGCGTATTCAAGCCGTATAACAACGTGTAGCCTACCAGTACTTTTTGAATGAATCATCCAACAGTGATTAACAGCCTGAGGATTTGCATACAAAACCAGTGCAGTTATAATATGTCCTATTATTGTCATTACAAAACAAATATCGCAGTGAAAAAATCCTTAAACTATACCCTGCTTTACTACAATTTTAAAGTCTTCCTTGTGAATTGAATTGCACCCCCTGACATTAGATTTCCTTAAGGAAAGCAAGTGTGAATATTGAACCAGAATTAAAATAAAGAAATGATTGGGCATGATTTTCAAGCCCTTTATATGTTGATATAGCTAAAAGTCATAATCAAGGTATTAATCTGACTGAAGTAATGCTATAGAAGTTTTTGATCAAAATAAAACTTAAGTAATAGGACTCCTTGTGCAGAATAGCATACAATACATTAGTGCATCTGCTGGGTACCTTTTCTATAATAATACTGCATAATATACCTTTATATTTCTAGTTTCAATTCTGGAACATAATAGGTAACCAAAGCTTTAATATAAACGATGCGGAGTATCATTTGTAAAAATTTGAAGTAGTAGAAGTAGAAAGACCAACAACACCACAGAACAAACCCCAAATGATGTGCAAGAACTTGGTGACAATGGGAACAAAGAACTCCCATTTACCAGGAAAACACCTCCCGCAGAAATTGGCTCAAACAAAAGTGTTTGTCTCCTGAATCCAAACTGGAAGCTGCTTCCACAGGAGAGGGTCCTGATCGCTCAAGGCTCTGCCTTCCATTCAACTTTTGGAAACTGTAGGAACTGCAAATAAGCCTGCAGTCTGAAAAGAGGCTGATATTGGAGAAATATGACCTCTATTTGAGATCAAGGCTTTTCAGGGAGAACTTGATAATTAATAATTACAATAGGTCAAAGTAGATGTAACGAGTTTCATCAATACGAAGAAGGCAAATGAAAGAAGGCAGTCATAGCTATTAGCTGCACCACGTCTCATCATTCACAGTAATACTGAAAATTTTATTTACATGGTTATACAGTGTTATATCAGTGGTACCCTGATATAACACAAGACAAGCGCACACATGTCTGAAACTGAGAGCAATTTAGTAAAAGGGTAGTTATAATAACACAGTTATTACACAGTTGGAAAGACACTTGGAGCTGTACTCCAAGTGTCAGGAAGAGCAAAATGGATGTAATTTACTGATGTGGTTACATGGTGTGGCAAAGTAGGGCTTTAGGAAACTGGTTGAAAAGCTTGACCCAAGATACATCAGCCCGGGTAGAATATATATTTCATTTTAGTTTTATTAGGGACAAGCTATTAATTCAAAATCTCTGTTCACCTGAGTGTGTAACAGGTGAAAGAAAAATGCTTATTGCTGATACATTTAGGTTGTTAAATTACAATCATCTACCTGATGAAGGTCAACTGGACTGGAACCTTGTAGTTTAATAAATGTATTGGTGGTAAGCGACACCATGAGCGGGAACTGCATTTAATTGTTTTGGTGAAATGTTTTTATGTGACATTACGGTGTAGCTGCTGAAGACTTGTGAGGGTGAGGTACTTTTTTATTAAATTAAACAGTTGTGTTATACTTTTACTTAAAAGTCAGAGAGTTTTTATATTAGCAGAAATACTGTTATCACAGATTTGCTAAAAATTGTAAGATAATTTTGTACTTGATGGCTATACCTGGTTAGACACCATGATTCCATGATGTTTAGGGCTAACTATGATAGTAATTGCTAAGTAGTTTATTAACATACCACACAAAAGAATTGAGCAGAAGTACTACGTTACATCCCACCAGTAGTCCTATCACCATCACTGAATAGTGTTAAGTATTAACAGTACTCAAGCCCAATAGGGAGGTAAAATGAAGCTGGAAGTTGTCTTAATCACACACTAATGATAAAGGTTGTAGAGCAACTTATTTAACAGTGGGAACAACTTTGCTGTGACAGAGTTTTGTCTGATAACAAACCACATGCTGTTTAATAAATGTAAAATGAAAGTTTAATGCAGCAGTATCTTGTACTTAAGATGTTTTGAAGAAAAAAAACAAAACTAGGCAGATTAATAGCCTGTAACTCAGAAAGTCTTTGTACTGTGAAGGTAATTTTTTTTGTAATGGTCTTTGGATATCATATGATATATAACATTTGTTAGCTGATCATAACAAATGTTCAGCTGGTTCTGAATTGCTCAGGTCGGACTTTTTTCCCCCCAGATTCATAAAATAAAAAAATCATTTCATTACGCATTATAATGTGGCTGCCTCATCACAACATTGGAAAGATGTTGGTTGGTTTGGTGTCCTCGTAGCATTTTGTTAGAGTTATTTATCTAACTAGGATTTCAAGTATGTTAATTTCTTTCCAACTTTACTTCTTCAGAAGTTAAGAAATGCCATTGTACAATTTTCTTGTCAGTTTCCCTGCTTCTTGTGAGCTTGGCATTTTTTATCTTAAATTTGCCTTTTTGTACATCTGCCATTTTTTCTTTTTTCCTAAGACATTTTCTTCTTTTGTTTCACATAATGCACCGTTTGAATCTAGAGTCTAAAGTTGGCCCTTTATAGTTAATTTGATATGTGAGACCTAGAGACCTAGTGTTCTTGCCATCAACTGACAGTGAAAATCTTTTCCTTTAGGATCTCTGATGTTTACAGTTTATCACCTTTATTTACTGTATAGCATATTTAAACCAGGACATAGGATGATGCAGACGGATTGCTTTGAGCCTGTGATTATCTTGATTACACTGAGGATGGTTATAATTTTAGTGTGCCAGTAGTGATGCAGTCAGTAGTGATAGTGAGGCTTTATCGGCCAACAGTACAGTACATCACCCTGAAAGACTGGAGCTTGTTGTAAGAAGGTTCAGGTTTATTTTTAGCTTGCAGTACCCCAGGGTGAATTTTGCGGTTATCCCAATGACTTGTAGGCTTTGATGCATGTCACCAGAGTCCAGTAGAGACACTAATGTTCAACTACTACGCCTGGTTAAGCCTGTTTATACAAGGCTAATACTAAAGCAGTCTTAACTAGTGCAATGTAAAGTGTACTGTAAAAAATTGTCATTATGGCTGCTTATAGCTTAGGTGAGTAGGATCACTGACACTTGTCCCTAAGTTTTCAAGACTGATGTTTTGGATTCATGATAAATATCTGAATAGGTAACAAATTTGCTGGGTTGTAGGTTGTTTTTTTTCTTCAGTTTCTCCTTAATATTATTTTATAACACAACGGTAATGCAGCCTTAGCTGAGATGCTCAGATCCCTCTCTTTAGCCACCTCCATCAGCTCATTTGGGGGGAATACCAAGGCATTCCTTGACCAGCTGAAAGATATACTCACTGTGCCCGGAGTCTACCCTGGTGCTTCCTGACAGGGCATGCTTGGAACACCTCAGCCCAGGAGGCATCCTAGTCAGATACCTGAACCACCTCACCTGTCTGTTTTTGTGATTGGAGCATTACTTTCCCCTTTTGAATTGCCTGAAACCAACTTAAACTCTTTCGTGGCCTCACAAAGATCCTCCCACATGCATGTTTTTGCTTCAGCTGCTGTCAGAGCCACACTCTTAGCTTGCTGCTATCTGTCAGCTACCTCTGATATACCTCAGGGTAACCAAGCCCAGTACAACTCGTTCTTGAGCATGATGGATCCTTTCACCATCTGGTTTAGGGACTATCTCAATAACAGGCATCCACTACTTTGTGGCTGCAATTCTGTGCAGTTGCCTCGGCAGTAGAGGTACAAAATATGGTCTATTCAGTCTCAATGTCTCTGATATTCATTGTAATGCTTTTGAAGTTCTGCTGAAGGTGGGAATTGAAGATTTTGTGGACCAGCGCCTCTACCTCTGCTGGATTCTCTCAGTGCACCTGCACAATAGGTTTAGGTTTGGGTGCACCAGGGCTGTCCACTATCCTCCTCTGCCACCTGATCCAACTCACCAGGTGGTGATCAGTTAACCGCTTAGCATCTCTCTTCACCCGAGTGTCTGAGACATATGGTCCCAGATCTGATGAAACAATTACAAAATTGATATTGTTCTGCAATGCAGAGTGTCCTGGTGCAATAATTAACACGCTCATGCTTGAACATGGTGTCCATTATGAATACACTGATAAGCCTTGCTAAGAGAGCCAGCATTTGTGTTAGAATATCAAGAGTCTGCAAGAACATACATTTTCTAGGAGCTGCTCATGGTGCCAGTGTGTATAATGAGTGTGTCTGGATGGTGATTGCGGCAGACAGACTGTGTGAATGAACCACTGCTGATGCTTGTGGACATAAGCAAAAATTAATTAATTAAAAAAAGGGCAGTGTGTTAAATTTAGACTTCAATGGAAAACCCACAGGTCAATGAAGGAGAAAGTCTCACCATGCACAGTAACAACCATGATTCAGCTGGTGTCACAGATCAGAGAGAAGAAGATGATGATGGTGATGAGGATGATGTCAGCGAGCGTGCCGGGCATCCCTCTCTCTTCTGTCACGACGGAGAATCTGTGGCATGTCAGCAGCCGGGAGACGGCAACATGAGAAAGCAGGGCTCTGATTGGCTGCCACAGGATTCCTCCTAATGACGTCAGAAAAGATGGAGACAGGCTGCCTTAAAGTTAAAGCTTCAGCTTTCACATAGAAACAGTATTCAAGGGCACTGGCACCCTCCATAATATCAAATAGCAATTTTTTTTAACATTAAAAAATAATGAGTACATGTAAATTTTACATCTTGATTTCTTTTAAGTGCCAGAAGTGGAAAGGAATAGTTCTTTCAAAAATAATGTACAGAGTAACTGCACAAGAGAAGAGTGTAGCAGTTAAAGTGGAATAAGTGATCCTTATTATAAAACTTTTAAGTTATATCAGACTTTAGTGACATGCACCCACAGGTATGGGCATTTCCAAATAGGGGAGAAAAGCTGACTTTTATTTCTCACTCTGTTATATAAATCAAACTGAACTGAACAGTCATTGCAGAAGGATGGTGCCAGCGAAGTCACAATGCAGTAAAATTAGCTGTTGTGTTGCCTCAGATGTGATGAGCCAGAAGTGCAACTCGTTAATTGAACTCGTCTTTCGTCAGCTGTGAAAGGGGCTTCCTCGCAGGGGAATTTACCAAAAGCTTTTCTCCAAGAAGGCAAAATGTTTAATTTTTTTTAATCTGTTAAGATCCTCGCCTTGAGTGAAAGCTTTCCCGTCAGCAGCGGTGCAAACAGTCTGTCAGTGACTTGAGGCCCATGAATAGAGCACGGGAAGATGTGACCTAAATAACATATTCTTAGACCCACCCATGTACATCCGCTGTAAATACACGGTTTTGCATCAACGGCCAATTTGGATCCACGCTGAGGCAAAAGAACACGCTGCGATAAATGTCAGTGACAGTTTGTGTAGTCACAGCAAAGAAACAGATGTTTCCAAACAGACGGGAGGTGATAGGCTGGAAGCTCAAAATCACTTCTGAATTGACTGAAATTTGAAAACTGAAGCTGAAAGAATTCCTAAATGGTAAAATCCAACCTCATCATGCATTTATTGATCACACCCACTACTACTATGAGTAACAACAGTCTTATATCTTGATTGAAAGTAGCGTTATGCTCAAAGCTGCCATGTTTTTTTAGGTACATGTCCAAAATGCTGCAAATGTTCTGCATATTATTTTACATTGATATTGAAACGTTAAAGTTATGGGGCAATTGTTTATTAATTTTCTTATAATGTAAAAATAGCAAACAATTTATTGTGAAAGTTACATAAAATGAATGAGTGTTTATCAGAACTGAAGCACAGACTTCTTGGACAGCATGTACTTTGCAGTAAACCAAAATACTAGTATGATATTTAGATTAAAAATATACAATAACAAGTCAAACAGCAGCAGTTGTTTGATTATAGAGAAACTGCAGTCGAATTTGCTTTGGTCAGTAATTACAATTTGGATTATTTTAACATTAAAAACTGTTATTTAAGAGGGGGAAATAGAGTGTTTGGGGTAGGGGAGTCAGGGACATCCAGTAGGAAGTTAGTCCCAGACTAGCAGGTGTTTTCGTCTGTAAAGGCAACTACTGGCTCCAGGTAGAGAGACAGAGAGGGACACCAGGATGTCCAGACAACAGTGGGCTTGATCCCTTTTGGAAATCTGCTCTGTAGCTACACAGGGAGCAATTTTCATTGCCACATTTAGCCATTTACCTCGCTTTATTTAGGAAATTTGTATTAAATATTTTGGCAAGGCAACGATCACTTGAGGTTTAAAGTGTAACATGATCACTGACAGTCCTGTAAGTTAGGACAACAGAAGACTCTCCTGAAGGATAATGCAAATATTAATATATCAAAAAAGGTCATAATTCATTCAGTTCTGTGTGCACAGGAGTGTAATGTGACTGCAGTGAATTGTTCTGCATGTTAATCGTGTTTTCTGAATGCTTCACGCTGCTGAAATAAATACAGTGTCCCACCTTTCAGAAACCTGTACAAGGTCAAAGTTAATATCTACACTGTGTTCCTGGGTGGGTGGAGGGGCTCTTCTCTGAAAGAGGATTCTTGTATCTCAAAGTCACAGTCAGTTGAAAAGAACAAAGACCTCATTCACTCTGCCAGCTTTAGCTCAATTAAAATAAAGACATTCAGATAACAATTAACTCAGCACGTGGATTAGCCATGTGTGGGTGTCTCTCTCTCTCTCTCTCTCTGGGGTAATTTATAAAAACAAATCTGTTAAGAAACACAGAGAGAGTGAGGACACCACGAGCTGTTTCTTGCAGATCTGTGTGCAGACTTCAGCAGAAGTTACATTTAGACGATGTCTGTATGTCCATCAAGGTTAAATGAAGTCTAACAGTGTGTTTCTTTTTCCCTCCATTGCAGTTTGACTTTTTCATGTTCAACTTTACAGTAAGGCAAGGCAAATTTATTTGTATAGCACAATTCAACAACAAGGTGATTCAAAGTGCTTTACAGAGACATTAGAAACAAAAACAAATAAAAAGCATGATTTAAAATTGATTAAAACAAGCAAACAAACAAACTAACTAAACACACACATTTCACACCTGTTTGCGCGATCTGAACCCTTATCGTAAGGGGAGCTACCAGTCCTTCTGTGGGCGAGCTACTTTCTATTTTAAATTCCCTGAATTTAAAATACTCTCTAGACCCAGTTGGGGAGCTACCCAGAGCTCTAATCAGTACTAAAGTATTTTCTGCTCATTATTTTGCAGCTTTACTATGTTGATTTAATATCACAAACACAAAACAAAGGCACTGAGGCTATCTAGTTAGCTACAACTGAACCGCCAAAGTCAACCTGAGAAGGACTGTTCTTTAGTGAGCCTTTGCATTAAAAATGACAAATGACTATCCTCTCTTTGAGGTTGACTTGACACAATGGAGAAGTAACACATTATACATTAAATTCAATCAAACTGTTCACCCAGAAACCAATGTGTCTGCCCTTCTGTTCTTGTTCTGCTTTCATGAAGAAAATTAACTTGGTTAAGTCATCACAGATAATTTCTCCCACTGCTCAAAGGTGGGCAATTACTGCTTTGCCGCAACCAATAAATCCTTACTTGTGGAGAAAACTCAGATTAAATATTTTAATATGCAAACCAAACATGGTGATGGAATCATGACGATGTAATGACCATATTTCTAAATCTTTTTAATAATTGTTCTAGTACACTGCCAGTCTGTCGCAGGGCTAACACAGACTGACAAACAGCCATTCACACTCACATTCAGACCTATGACTAATTTAGAATCACCAATTAACCTAACCCCCCCTAACGGCATATCTTTGGACCGTGAGAGAAGCCAGAATACATGCAAACTCTGCACAGAAAGGCCCCAGCTAGATCAGGACCTTCTTGCTGTTAGGCAACAAAGCTAACCACTGGGTATTACTGTGCTGCCCGAGGGTCCAACTCCTCCACAATGAAAGCATCAATATTCCAGCAACGTTCCAGTTAAGACATAATGCTCTCGGTCTTTGAAAAGATGAAAGCTTTGTTAGGAATAAGTATATCTCACTAATGTCATAACCTGGTGCCTCACACATCATCACCAGTGAACTCCTTGTGGTACCTGAGACACACCAGCAGCCTGAGACTACAGAATGAAGTCTTTAAAACACAGCCGAGCTGTAAAAGTGTGTTCTCCTGATATCTTCTGACAACTGTTTTCTTTCTGTGTCTTCTGTTTTCAGCTTTTAGGGTTTGAGGTGGACTCAATCAACTCCGTCCAGTTCTCCAACCATACAGGTCAGGCCACTGACTTAGCCTGTGTATCTCTCAGTTCGTGCGTGCCTGCTTTGTGTGGGTGTGTGTGAGTCAGTCAGTTCACTCGGTGTCGTGATGAGGTGTTGGCGAGTGTTAACAGACATGGTTCCCTTCGAGGCAGCGACCGTGCCGAGGCTGACGACTCGACAGATAAATGAGTTTCTGTGGAGGTCAGCGGCTGCATGCTCAGACACCAGAACAGCTTGGAAACACAGATATAGCTGCAGGGAGATGAACGCCATTCACATTTTATACAAGCTCCATCTCTGTCTCTCTCTTATTGGACATGATGCTGCTGATCTGGTGCCATCTCTATTCTCTTTAAGAAGAATCATCTAAAGATCTCATTTCATGAAAAATTCATTTTTATACTTTTATGAGATTTTTTTTATATGAGCCGTGAAAATCTGAAGTTGCTTAATTGGCTCTCCAGTAAAACTGTTTTGTTTTTTTACATCCTTAAGCTTATTAGCTGTATGTTAAGGGGTTAAATAATTATGAAAGTTTATTGATGACTCTCAAAGTTTAAAATCTAATCAGTATAATTGAAAGAGATGTGTAAAATTTCTGCAAAGGCGTACTTGTGACAGAACTAATTTGATTTGAAGGAACTTGTATGATTGCAGTGATGATGCATCTTGTTACAGAGATGATGCAGACATCGCCTCTGGGCTGTCTGCATCATCTCTCTGTCACATTTAGCCATAATATTTGGATCTGATTGCCAGACGTGAGTGAATAATCTGCACCGTGTCTCCTTTGTCGCACTGATGTGTGGCCCCACTTCATGGAATCCAAGCTAACTGAACCTGAAGAATGAATCAGCTGTGAAAACAAACATATTTGTCCAGCTGTTGCTTGTTGCTTCATAGTGGAGTCAAGAAATAGTAGATCATAACAAAGGTTTGATTTTGTTTGTGGGTGGTAAACTAATTCATCTGCATATCTGATTTCATGTGACCTAAAAGACAGTGCGACCCCCTCGTGTTATGGTTTAATGCAAGTGATCCGATTCCATACGGTTACTGCTGACTTAGCTGTAAGCTGAAAGTCTGATTGACGAGTGAACTGCTTTGAAGTCAGCCTCAGATTGTTTTGTATGGAGTTGTTATCGACACAGATAATAGTGAGCTTAAAAACAGTGAAAGTGACCTGTGGTGATGTTGCAGACTGAGGCTAAACATAATTGTAGGAGTTTTTGTAGGATAAGTGTCATGTGGGCGAGCCTGGAGCTTAAATGTAGCAGCAGCAGATGGTGGTATTTATATTTGCCTGTTGCAGCCTTTTTCAGTATTTTCAACTACTGCCTAGGTCACGTTTCATGACAGACATGTGAGCTTTAAAGAAAGTTTATGTACCTGAGAGGTTAGATTCAACTTAACTAGGCTTTCTTTGTGTTAGCTGGTTCAAGAAAACCCCAAACCCACTGAGATTGATCTTTGTAAATAGCTATTTAATGTCTATCTTCTGTTTCTTTACCTTTTTCCTGTGTCCTGCTTTTGGGTCCTATTGGTGCATATATAGTGAAATCTCACAGTGAAAATTTGAAGCCTTTTTTGGGTTTAATTTAGATAACTATCACTTATAGCTCACGAAAATCAGAAATCCGGTTTCTCTTTAGAATATTTCATAGGACACACAAAAAATAATTTACAAAAGAGAAATGTCCAACTTCTGAATAGTATGTTCTCTTATACACTCAGTACAGGCTGGAGCTCCTTTACCGTGAATTACTGAATCAGTGTCACCTTTTTCATTATCACTTTCCAGATGACATTGGATAGTTTTGCAGGAAAAGTTGAGCCAACTCCAGAATTTTCCACACAGTCCTTCTGAAATTAGTTTTTTCTTGCATTTCTTGTCTTAGAGAATTACTGGAGTTCAATTTAAACCCTTGGGGACGAGTTAAAGCCAGGAGTGAGTAATCTAATCACAGGTTGTAAGCTCACTGTTATTATCAATCCACTTGCAGAGTAGACAGTGATACAGCTGAGGACAGTGTGTTGTGGAGAAGAGAAGAAAAAGTCCTCACATCAATTGTGGGATTCTGTTTGAGTGACCTTAACGCAGAAATGCCTCAGACTTTAATCAGATCTTACATTTGCAATTTCTCAGAGGAGAGTGTGTAATTTGGTGTGACATATTGAAGAAGACGTTTTCATCTGAAAAGGGAGAGAAGAGCGGCTGGGGAGAGGGGCAGAGAAGGTGAACAGAGAGGAAAAAAACTGGAGAGAGGAGAGAAAATGAATCAAAGAGAGAGATGATGGAGAGAGAGAGACGCTGGGAGCGGCCATGCGACGCAGCAGTAAACAGCAGCGGGCGTTGGGAAATTGCGACAGCAGCGTGCGATGACGTCAGAAGCAGCTCTTATCTGAAGGCCTGCCTTCATTTTGCCCTCCCTCTCACGCACACACCACTCTGACTGCTCATCTCTTTTCTTAGCCCCCTTTGGCTTTCTCCTGGCTTGTTGCTTAGCAACCAGAACCCCCACCACAACCACGTGACCTGGCTGTGACTCACCTGGAGCCACGACGTCACCAGCTTGCAGCAAACCTGTCATGTGCAGACAGACACCCTCCACACTGGCTTATATGCTTGTGGCCACTTCACATACATGCACACCTGTATACAGTATTCAGCACATGCTGAGGCAACACACAAACACAGTGTGTGTGTGTGTGTGTGTGTGTGTGTGTGTAGTGGAGCATGTACGTCTTTGTCGTGCTGCTAGCCTCCACTCTGTCCCTGTCTAACCAGATACTGTGTCTGCAGGTATCAGGTCTGCTGTGTGTTTGTGTGTGTGTGTCTGTGTGTGCGTGCATGTATGTGTGTGCGTTCTTCATGCAATTAGATTCAAATTCTGGGTTGTGGGGTAAAGACATGTCTGGGGCACAAAGACCTTCTCAGGAATTTATGATCAGGGTGTTTGTCTTATCCTTTGGATGATGTTTGCAAGGTTTAATTGAAATGAGATATTAAATGTAAAATCTTGATATGTCAGTGAATAAGATGTGATATAATGAAACATTAGATATAATGAAATGTGGGTAGAAAAGTTATCCTGTGTGTGAACCCTGAAAAAGACTGAGGGCATAGACACAGACAGGAAGGGAGGAATAATAGGGAACAGTTGAGCCTAAGCAAACATTAAAAAATACAAATAATAAAGGAGGAAAGAAAACCACACGAGGGTCTGACCTTCAGAATAAAACAGGAAGTAAACTGAAAGAGGGACTGGAGCAAACTCACACAGAGAGAGGCTCGACTAATTAAAGTATCATTGTACAGTTTTCTAATCACATCACGTCATGTTTGATTCTCATTTAAACTTTCTTTGATGTACTTTTTGTGAATTGGTTGAAAAGCTCACATTTCCCTGCAGGAGAAGTGTGTTTTATCCACTGGTCTCTTCACAGCAAACACAGTAACATCTCTCCTGTGCTTTCTGAAGGATATTCTCACTGGAAAGGTCAGGTCTTGACAGCAGATGAGCTTCACGTTCTTTATGAGGGGATCAAACTGAACAACGTGCACCACTATGACTATGTTTTAACAGGTGGGTGTCCTACTTTTTCACTTGTACCGCTGCTCAAAATGCAGATATCTGGACAGTTTAATTTAGTTTAATCAAAGTTTATTTTTAGATCCCCCTGAGGTTAAATTTAAATAAGTTCCTTGCAGTCTTCTTACTTTTTTTTTTAGCATCATGTACTTGTGTGCCAAATGTAGATAACACATGTTATCTACAATTATCAAAGCAGTAGATCAATTTTGACCACGGGAATAAAAAAGAGATAAGAAGTCACAATTTTCTTCTGTAAAAACTTTTTAAGGTAAATCTGAGAATCAGCTTGGATTTAAGTAAGTTTAAGTTCAACTGGGTGCCATTATTGAGATACAGAGCAGTTTAAGTTTAAACAGTTTTTAACAGAAATCAAAAAGTATAGTTAGTTATGAATCTTTTCATACACGGCCTATAATAATTTCTCTGCTCTGTCTCTTCCTTGTGTGTGTGTGTGATGTCTGCAGGGTACACCAGAGACACGTCCTTCTTGGAGATGGTGGTGGACATTGTTCAGGAGCTAAAGAGAGCCAACCCCAACCTGGTGTACGGTAAGCAAACACATGGTTTCACAGAGTGAGAAGGGCACAAGAATCACATTAAATGCAACAAAAGATCCACTGCTGTGACTGAGCATTTGGCTGCAAATGCCGACCTTTAGGAAATTCTTGCAGTTAGTAGAACTGCTCTCAGTTATGGCAAAAACTGTAATCAGATTGTTTTGGTCATACTTTTAATTAATTTTAAGAAAAGTGTCTTTTTACTGGGGATTTCAACTTAAACTTAAGTAAATAATTCAGATGAAAAACAGGTTTCTTTTAGAGTGGTAGATGTGGTGGAGGACAGAGTGGGAGGGACAAAAACAACCGCAGCGTCCTTCCACGGGTCAGTCTCAGATTTATCAAGATGAGAGGTTTGGCTCCTGGGCTGAATGCTTTTACATTCAAGCCAAGCCTTCGTTATCAGAGTTTAAACACATTTTTGGTGAGGCAGCAAAGGCATTTATTATTTAACCAGCTTATTCAAAGTAGATCCACTTCACTCCAGGGATGACTCTGTAGCCTGAAGGATTTTTTTCTCATGTCACACCACTCAGTTTGACTCAAATCAAGACTGTTGCAGTTTTGCCTGTGGACACTGTAATAGTAGATATACAGTGAGACTTACTGCCTCTGCTCAAAATAATAAGCAAACATTGGGTTTTGCACAGTGTGTTTACCTAAGCACTTATAGAAGATCCTCTGTTACATGCTGCTGCTGCTGCGAGATGCTTTTGAATGTTGTCATACTTTAATAACATAGGAGAGCAGTGACTGTAAGACAGCATGGGTGTTTTATGGAAGTGAGAGTAATTGTATGCATGTTTCTGGCTGTATTACACATATTTATTTGTCATATCAGAACATTACTGGATGTTTAATCTTTGCCTTATTAGTTCATTATTTCATCAACATCTTCCCAGTAACAGGTTGTACATTTTTTACTGCAGTTAGAAACACATGGAAATATTTCAATGTGACTTTTTTGTGTGGAGAGTGGGGATTGGATAAAAGTCTGATTGGATAAGTGGTTAGGAGGAAGTATGGATGCATGGATGGATGTTTGATCAGATCAGTTCCAGAGTTATAGCATAGTTACCTTTCAAGACCTGATGTCCAACTCCACCCTCAGAACTAAACTTACATTTTTGCCTTCACCACAGCAGAGGCTCCAATAATGAGAAAAAGTATTAAATTGGTCATTTCCTAAACTGATATGTAATAAACAGTATAGCCCAAAGCAGGGTCTCCAGGTCTTCTGTTTTAATACTTTAAAAATGGATAATAGGTTTTTCTGTCAGTCTCATTCCCAGCTTGGATGCGCTCATCTCCAAATCCACTTTCATGCCTCCCATCACTGCAGTGTGTTTATGTAATGCGCTGATTGCTGGTGTGCTCTCACTCTCAGTATCTTTTTGTCGTTTCAGTGTGTGACCCCGTCCTCGGAGATCATGGATCTATGGTGAGATTACTGATTATTCGTGTACCCTGTTGTATGTGTGTCCATGCTGATGTCTGTTGCTTTTAAGAAGGAATTTTGTGCCTTTCAGTTTTGTGTGGGTGGGATTTAGTGTGTGTGTGTGTGTGTGTGTTTATACAAATATATATATTTGTGTTCGTGTTCTGTGGGTGTGTTACAAGACTAATTTCTCATGACAGAGGGATTATTGTGATCTGACAGTATTACATATACACAGTGACTCACTCTGTGTGTATATATATCTACTGTGTGTGTGTGTCTATGTTGTGTATGTATTACATTATGCGGACAGTTTGTGTTGATCATGTAAAAGCATGAAAACAAACATCAGAGAAAAGCTTTGTATTAACACAGCCCACAGATGAAGTCCTCTGTGTTTGTGTGACTCTGTTTCCACAGTATGTTCCTCAGAATCTTTATCCCGTCTATAAGAACAAGGTGGTTCCTGTTGCTGACATCATCACTCCTAACCAGTTTGAGGCTGAGTAAGTAAAAGTGTTTTCAGTCTTGACAATTTGACGACTCTGTGACCATCTGTTCATTCACCTTCTGATTAGTAGACTAATATCACTGCATAACAAAGCCTTATATTATTGCCAGAGCTTAGTTTTATTTATATGGTGCCAGTTCACAATGGTCATTGTCTCAATGTGCTTTATATTGCAAGGTAAAAACTAGATGTTGATCATATGGTCACCAATGAGCAGCCCTTGGTGACAGCAGGAAGGAAGAACTCCTTTTAAACAGGAAGTGAATGCATTACTTTAGTTCCCTAGTAAGAACATTCATTGACATGAATGCATTCCCAATCCTCTTACAGGTAAGTTTAATCATCACAGCTTAATTCCGAACCCTGATCCCTAAGTTAAGTTTAACCTGCAAAGTAATAATAATGTAATGTAATAATGTGAGCAAGTAGGTCTCATAAAGAGTGTTTTTATTTCATTTTATTTATTTATTGCCTGGTTTCCTGACAGTGACCGCTACATGTGAGCAGATGCAATCACACACACATTCTGTGAGTCCTTACAACGGTCCTCTGCTCATGTCTGAGACAAACTCTCCCTGAATGGTTTTGTAGTTGTTCTGATTTTCTGAGTATATTGGTGCAAACGGCCTTTATGTAATGCCACTTATGTTACCTAATACTTCCATTTTGTGGTCCCAAAAATACATCTTTGCTCCCCTTGTATCCTCTCTTATCTTTCTTGTTAATTTTTCCTTCCGCACTTTATGAGAATCTCTTTTATGTATTCTTAATTTAAGCACTGTAAATCCAAGATGACTTGAGTTCTTTGAAAATACATTACTTTAATCAGTTACTTATTTCCTCTCTAAATATTTCTTTATAAATAGTGGTTGTGTAAATAAAGATGGATCCTTTCTTCTGTCACTGTGTATTTAGTAGGGCTGCACGATTTTGCATAAAATGAGAATCACGATTTTTTGGCTTAGAATTGAGATCACGATTCTCTCACGATTTTCTTTTCCAGTATAAATATTTATTGCACTTATTAACTGCACATCAACTTCGTAACAGTTGAGACTGAACATAAAAACAATAAATAAACATAAAAACAACAAATGTCTCACGTTTTGTTGTTGCCGCAAAATGTTGTACTGCTTGAAATTCCGTCTCCACCGTTGCTCGACACTGCGTGTATAGAGCAGGTAGTGCAACAATAGAAAAATAGTTGCGGGACGGCACTGTGTAGCGTTTGTCTAGGGTGTTGATCATTTTCCTAAATCCCTCGTTTTGCACAGTGTTGATGGGAGCCATATCTTTGGTCAGGTGATAAGTGATAGCCTCCGTAATTTCTTTGTGCCTGCGGGAGTTCGACGTGTATAGGGAAGCGCTGTATAAGGTTCCCGTTATTGATGTTTGGGTGGTTGACCGGGACGGATTTTCTCCTGTCACTTTCTCGTCATCCCTGACGTGCTCTCCGTTGTTTTTTCCCTGCTAATTTTAGCAGCACAGCTTCTGTATCACGTGGTATAAGGCTCCGCCCTTGTCATTTGTTGAGCAGGAAGAGTGAGCGCTTGTTTTCATGCAGATTACGTCCCGGATCAAAATGCGGTACAATCGTCGTCGTCTTTTTTTTTTTTTTTTTTTTTTAAATCGTTGTCATTTGGAAATGATATCGCACATAAGTATGAATCGAGATCGCGATTTTCTAACGATTAATCGTGCAGCCCTAGTATTTAGCACTCCTCTTTACTCTGAGATCACACAGTGAGATTGCATCATTAGAGCTTTGCTGTTTTTGGAACAAGATTAAGTCTGATTCACGCTCCAGTTCAAAGGTTATACCAGCAGGAGAGTGCAGAATACAGTCAGTGTCATTCAAGTACAGTAATGATTGATTAAGTCGAAAATAATTTGTCAGCTCAGCAACAGAAGAAAAAAAATTCTGACAGTTGCTTTGATCTTTTTTTTGTAGTCTGTTCAAACTGTTTTAGTGGTCCATTATCTGTAGGTCATGGACCACGAGATGGACCCAGGCAGAGTGATTAGTGCATCCTGTAAAGCAGCATAATAGCCTAACAGCTAACATTAGGTACAGTTTTAGCTTGACGCTATATATAATGGTCTTTAAAATACACAATTCGAATAATTTGGAACTTGAAGCATTTTGATGGAAACTGCTAAATTGAACCTCTTGTCAGTCGGCCTGCTCGTGGAAAAGTAAAGATGGTGGTTGAAGCCCAGTCCTAATAGTTTGCATTATGTCATTCGCGTTCTGTTTGTTTTCTCATCACATTAATAAACATGAAACTATTTGAAAACCTTTTTGAATGTATATTAGTGTCTCTATAAGAAAACAATTTTCTGCACTAAGTCATTTAACGTGGTAAGATTTAAAGCCTTATTTTTACCTCCTTTATAGTAGGACTCAGTGGACCTAACAGATGAAGCCATCAGATTCTTTGTTATAAATTCTTAAAAGTGTAACATCTGCTGCTTAGGTTTTAAATGACGTTTTTATGATCTCCACAGTCACATGTGAAGGTTTTTTAACCCTTACAGCCTCTTTTTTGCAGTAATATTAAGCAGTTTAAGAATCTCACATCTGTCACAGCTTTATTGTGAAGTTACTCCACCTGCTGGTTTGTCTGTATGCCTGCAGAATCAGACTGAATCAGGTTCTGTTCATGAAAGAGTCGTGATTTAGTGTCTTCAGGGTCTTTGTTGCAACTATGTTTTCACACGTTATTTATTTTGCAGCTGTTGTGATTGTTTGCTTGTGTTTTAGATTATTGACGGGGAAAAACATCAGCACAGAGAAAGACGCTGTAGAGGTAACTTATCCTGTTTTTCTTCTCTACATGAACATTAGTTCTTGCTGTAAAAGTAGAGTTTGTCTTTTTGCCTTTTCCAGCTTCATACTTCTGTATCTCATGTTCTGATTGTAGGTAATGGACCTCCTCCATGCGATGGGCCCAGACACAGTGGTTATTACGTCCTCTGATCTTCCCTCTAGACTGGGAGACCGCTTCCTGGTGTCATTGGGCAGCCAGCGTCATGGTAGGCGACAGGATTAGGAATGTAGTTTGACATTAATACAGGAATTTAACCTGTTGTGTGTCTGTTGTGCTGTTCAGTTCGTCCAGATGGCAGCAGGACAACACAGAGAGTGCGATTAGAAGTTCCCAAAGTGGATGCTGTGTTTGTAGGAACTGGAGACTTGTTTGCTGCTATGTTGCTAGCGTGGACACATCACTACCCCACTGACCTAAAGGTACACACTCACAAACAAACACAGAAAAACTGTTTGGAGCTCAGTCCAAAGTAACTGAAAGTTTGAGGAATAGGAACAGATTCAAAGACCTGCAGAGATTTGATGATTTAGTCCTCTGACTAAAACCAAGAGCAACGGTTCTGCTTTTTGGGGCGATCGTGGCTCAAGAGTTGGCAGTTCGTCTTATAATAGGAAGGTTGTCGGTTCGAGCCCCGGCTCCGACAGTCTTGGTTGTTGTGTCCTTGGGCAAGACACTTCACCCATTGCCTACTGGTGGTGGTCAGAGGGCCCGGTGGCGGTGTCTTACTACTGCTGCATATTACTGTGAAAACAAATCTTTGTATGCTGTTACAAAAACAATAAAAAGATTGTTAAAAAAAGACTATAACATAAGCTCATGCAACAATAATGCTGTGTGAGAGGGGTAATCACATAAAAAACATAAAATTCAAACCCCTTAGATTTGGCTTTCCTGTCAGGCACTGCTGCTAGTTTTAGATCACTCCATGGAAGTCCCATTCACTTACACTGTGCCCTTTCTGATCTCACCCCAGAGAGCGAATGCTAACTTAATCCATGTGGTGGATACTCACTGGTGGTAAAAGCTAAACAGTTTTCAGCAGTTGGTGAGTCCAAACTTTCTAAGTTTGGGGAGGAATGAGACTTCTACCTGATGCTTTTTCAGCACTCATCGGATTGGTGCACTATGACCTCATCCTCCAGGGTCAGACGTCAGTCTGCTGTAATGTCTTGAGGCGTCTGAGGGAGAACATTAAGAGGAATTTATCTCAAATCTGGTGACACGTGTACAATTTTTGCTCACCAAACATGGTATAGTATTTCCACTTAATTTGGTGGAAATACAGCTAAGTAAATAAAAGATAAGGTGACATATTTGAAGTCAGGAAGAAAAAAGATAAATTACTGTTTTGTTTTTTCTTTTCTGTCTCTCAGACGGCCTGTGAGAAAACGTTTTCAGTGATGCATCACGTTATCCAGAGGACCATATCCTACGCTCATGGTGAGAATAACAGAACTAGTTATCAGCGTCTAAAGCTTTCCTTGTTTGAATTTCATGAACAAAAACACTAAGAATTATGTGAAATCAGTTTAAACAGCGTCTTACTTTAGAGTTTCAAAAAATTTTGGGTGATAATAATAAAAACTAGCAGTAATATTTCTTACCTGTATGGGTCCTCACTACAGCAGCTCATTGATAAAGTCTGGATTTCTGCTCCTGTTGTTATCAGTTACTGGCTTCTCCTGCATAACTGCTTTTAAATGCGTTGCATGAATGGCAGTTTGTTCATGACACCTGTCTTCAGATTCCAAACTTTGCACAATCAAACTTTGCGGGTTAATTGAATTTTGTGTGACCCTTACCTGCCCCTCTCGCCCTCAGAGTTAGCAGGTCCTGGTCGGAGGCCCAGTCCGCCCCAGCTGGAGCTGCGGATGGTCCAAAGTAAAGCTGACATAGAAGATCCTGCCATAGTTACGGAGGCCACAGTCATATCCTAACGTTGCCCACCCATAAGACTCATACTAACCTCTCCATCCATAAATCTCTCAGCTCCTGTATCTCGGTAAATCTCTCATTACTGTAAACCTTGACTGTCATTGCCTAACTTCAATAACTCATCATCCAGACTCCTTAAACACCTTAGTATTGTAAACCCTTTAGTCCTTTAACCCTTTGAAGTCCTCAGTGTCCTGATCCCTAACTTAACCCTTAACCCTGTTTTGGAACCAGAGCCATGGATAGACAGAAGGTTTGGTCAGGGTATCCGAGAGGACTTTGCAGCAGCTCTTTAGAAATCTTTAGGGCTCTCCGGATGACTCAGATAGGGAACTTCCACAAGCACAAAATGTCATATGTTAAGGTTAATGAGAGTGATGGCTTTAAAAAAAAATCATCCAGTATTCAATCATCTGCACGACAGTGGAATTGATTTGGAGCTGGTAAACTGAGATCTGGGCAAAATTCACAACTGTTATAGAAAACATGGGAGAGGTTTTGTCCTTGGAGTGCTGCTAGGATAAGTTAATAGTCTTACCTCTGGTTTAAAATAATATTTTACCTTTTTTAAGTTTCATAAGACTTATTAATAAGTCTTTTCAAAAAGTTCTCATGGATAACTTGATAACGATCTCGGGTTTAGTTTCTGTGGCTTCTCTTCAGTCTGGCCTGGTTTTTTGCCCCTGTAGCCACACTGAATAGTGATGTCAGTGTATTTGGATGCACGTCAGTCTATTCACAGTGACCCAGCTGCTGAATAACAGCTCTCGCACAGAGTTAGACTGTATTTGTGGTGTTAGTAAGGGTCATGTGTACGTGCACATGTATGCACGTGCACATGAAAATAGGTGCACCCATGCTTTCTTAAAAAATAAAAAAAACAATAAAGAATGCAAACATTTTCATGGTAAATAGCAATAATCAGCTGCATCTACAGGCCATCCTTGTTCTGCTCTGCAGTGAGCTCAGCGTAGGAGCAGTAGAAACAGTTCTCCACCTGCTGCAGGTTCTGATTATTTATTAAAAATTATTTAATTAGGAAATGATGTGAGAGTATCTGAGTTTACTGGGACTAGATGGCTACATAAACCTTTCCCAACAAGTAAAGACATGTAAACTCCACAAACTCCTGCATGGAGTCAACTCCAGGTCCCTCTTGATGTGAGAAAACAGTGTTGCCAAGGATACGGCAGACCTCTGGGTCGAAGCTGATTTTCAGAGCAGAACAAGAATTACTGTCAACAGCTGACTTGGAGTACGCGTGACTGTGGGACGAGATCTTTTTGGTGGATGTAGTTGAGTAATGGAACGTATGAACCTACATGGAACACATCACGGATCCTGGATCTGGCGAGTAAGCCGGCTGATAGAGGAAGAAAGGCTTAGAGGGTCAGGGTTAGGAGTGACTTACCTTTCATCCAAAGAGCGAGGCAGTTGTCCACGGATAAAAATTGAAAAATGAGTTGCAAATTATAACCAGGCAGGCCGCCCAACTAAAGTCTCTTTGTGGAACCACTGAACAAGTTCTCCAAAACTCTACCTCAAAATTATTAAACTTGCCTACTTTATTGCTCTATTACTGCCACCCTGTTAAACTGGCATATTCTGTTTATTTCTGACAGTGTTGCACTCTAGAAGTGGTTCTCCACACCTGACGCCAAGTTGCAAGACTCTAAAGATCAAACACTGTTTTTCTATGGCTCTGCCCACCACACTTTTAATCCCTTACCCGTCTTACAGCAGTGATGTAATGGTGACCAAGTTTAACCCCTGAGATCTCTTGAAAAATATGAGAAAACAAACAAAAAAAAAAACGCACAATGTATAGATGTTGTACTATAACTGTATTGGACCATCTGTATGATATCTTCTATCTGATCTGTCTATTGGACCATTGTGTTGATGCTACTGTACTATAGACTACACGCACTACAATATCACTCAAACAGGAGACGTCCGGGTTGGTTGTGGCACTCGCAGACGCTTCAGTGCCTCTAGTTGTTGTCACCTGATAGTAACTGTCTAAAAATCAAAGTGTATAGTTGAACCTTTTTCATCTTAGCACAACATGAAAAAAATGGGCAACCCGAGCTGCCTGAGCTGTCCCCAGCTGATTGTAGACCACTCAGAAATTGGCCACCTCAGTGCCAGAACCAACCCACGTCACGCCGGACGGCTGCCGGCCCAGCTCTCGCCCAGAACTCTATATCTGAAAGTTGAGCCACTGAATTTACTGGAAGCCTCGAGTAGTATCGATAACATCTACAAGCTCTTTAAACTTTTATTTTTAAAAATGAGCTTTTGATTCCCATCACACTCCACTGTGGTCTCTGTCACGTCTTAATCTGTACCAGAAACCTGAATTAGTCTGTGCATGTGCGTACGAGTTCCTATTACCTTTATGTTTAAAAGTACTCATTAGGTGTGTTATGTAGAAATAGTTCTGTTTGTTGTGGGTGCAGTAAATGTAGGTCGAATTTCAACCAAATGCTGTGAGTTGAATCTTGAAACGAAAGATTAGTTTTGCACTAAACTAATACAGTTAAGTCGTTAGTACAGCTTAATCTGTTCAAACAGTTTCAGTTAAATCATCATCTTACAAATGTCACAATATAAACAATTTTCCAGAGCCAAAAGTGATTAACAATAAATGCGCCCCAAAAATGCCTCTCTAATTTTTAGTTGCACAAAAAGACATAAAGTCAAATGTCAGGGTTTCAAAATCACAGTATCAGCTTTTGAATTACATTAATATTTGTTATAACCAAAACCAAAACCAGTGGTGGTATTATAACCTGTAGCTTTTCCACAGTGGAACGTGATGGGAAGGGTGAGAGGAGAGCAAATGGCGACAGTGGTCATGAGCTGGTTTCAAACCAATGATGTCGCAAGAACTTGGGATGTGCCTTAGCCCACTGCGCTACAAGGGCACCACAAGAAAGGAGATTTCAGTTTTAAATTACCTCCAGAATCTTTTTTTCTCCTCAATTTTGGAAAGTGCAACCAAATATTCAGAGGCTTAAAAAAAAAGAAAAAAAACAGCCAGAAGCCATCAGTGATCCACCTGAGCTGGATGTAAGGTTCTGGGCAAGTCAGTGTATTTCTGTACTGCTGTTGTTTCTCTATGGACTGTACTGTGATACTGCCTTAGGAATCTAACATCATAATACCACAATACTACTCACAGAGAGGAGGAGGGGAGGGAAGGAAACATGAGATGTCTTAAATGTAGGTAAATGTATGTTTATCTTGTTTATAGAGGTGAAAGGGGCGGAATTATTGTCTGGTTTACAAAATTGCAGAAAATTGACTCTTTTAATTCCAACTAAAAAAATGAAACCCAAAAAATATAAAATTCAGTAAATATTTATAAAACTGTTTTTTTTTCTTGGTGAATGACTAATTTGAAATTGCAGCGTGGGTCAGATTTATTAATAATGATCCAAAACTAGACAGAAGTTAGAAAAAAACAACTGAATGAAAGTCACTTTATGATGTCATGGAGCTCCGTGTGTATGCGCACTGCTGAGAGGATGAATGCAGAGACTTTGTGAGCTTTGCAGTTTGCATTATAAAGCAGTCAGTTATTTACCTGCCTGCGAACCTCAGCACAAAACAGTTTTGTTCACAACTTCTAGATCTCCACCTGCACCAATTGCGTACACATCGTAACGTCTCCCCCTCCAAAAAATGCAACATTCCTTGTGAGATTTGTCAAAGCCCCACAAGGAATAGGTACAAAATAAAGCATACAAACAGTTAATTAACCGTTTGCAGTTAATTAAAACTCAGATTGTTAATAAATCTGGCCCTAATTGATTTATCATTTGGGAACTGCAGTGTTGTATACTTGTGCTCAGAGGTAATCTGAATGCACCTCTTGGACAAATAGGTGGGAAAAACGATCTCATTTGTAAAACACTTTTGTACCAGTACAGTTATATTGTGTCACTGTAGCGCTGATTGTCATATCAGTAACAGACTTAACGAGTCTGTGCATTTTGCCAACCGTCTTTCAGCTCTGCTAACAAACCCGACCGCTGTAACACTGGATCTAAACGCATCCACCTGTTGTGTCTTTGCTCGTGGGAGAGTGTGTGTATGTGTGTGTAAATGTCGTTTATGGTAACAGGGTTTCGTGTGTATGTGTGTCTGCGCATGTAAAAATGAAAGAGCAAATACATGGAAAGAAAATCTGCCAAATGTTGTGGGATGAAGAGGAGGGGGAGGTTAAAAAAGAAAAGGAACGCTTTGGTTAAGATGAGGAGGGGAGGAGAGGTGTGTTCAAGAGGACAATCACTCCCTTAACCCCAGCTGAACATTTAGAGGACTGCTCGGAGAGGGAACTGAATCCTAAATGTTCCCTTGATGCCTCACTTTGCTTCTTCTTCCTTTACATCCTCCAAACCTGCGCAAACCCCTGCAGTGCCAGTTCTTCTGTCCGTGTTGCTAGTTTTTAAACCTTAGCCTTGCCGTGTGCGTGTTCGTTAGATGGTTAAACTGTACTTTCACTGTTTCTGCTGTCACTGCTTTGTCACGCCGCTGTTCCCTGTTCTCAACGTGCCTCAGTGTCCATGTTGTTGCTGTCTGTCCTGCTCACGCTGCTTTCAGTAAGTCCAACTGCTTCAGATTCCTCCGTTGAATTTTGACTTGGTTAAAAAAACAAAAGACGCAGGTTTGGTCTCTGGCTGCTTGTTCATGGTAACTGTACAGGGGTTGAATTTTGTAGGCAGCAGGTGTTGCTAATCTTTTGAGGTTTTTAGAGTTTTGAGGGGGTTTTGTTCACTGAATCTGGTTATTATCATTAAAAACTAATTGCTAGATTTTAGATTTTTTTTAAAAATGTTAGTTTGTGTTGAAATACACCATTTTATGTGTTTTAGATGGAGGGGTGATGTAGCCAGTGAAGTCTCGAGTTTATTGAATTTAACTGACATGAGACCAAACTGGAGGCTCAGACCATCCAAAACATTGAGGTTTACACCTGCTACTGACATGCTTCTGTTTGTGGACCGTGTGTCACGTTTTTAAAGTTAACTGCAGATCAGACGGCCGGTGAGGTTTCTGAATGTTTCACTGAAGTGAAACCCTGTGTGATTGGATCCTTTGCCTCTCTGGCTTACGTGGTCATGTGACTCATTCCTGCGTGGCTATCCATGCTCTCCCGTCCTCACACCCCAGCCTCCCCTCGTCCGTCTCTGTTTAGTTATGAATTGGCTGCCATTAAAAACTGCAACAGCCCACCTGCTTGTGCCACAGTGGTCCTCTCCTCCTCTACATCCACAGGTTCAACTCCACCATCTTTTTTTTTTCCTTCTGTTCTCGGCGGCCAAAACAAAATGAGGAAATGTAATAATCATTGTTTGGTAACTGTTTTTAGTGCTATGTTTTTGGAGCGTTACGAGTATTTTCTAACATGTTACAATAAAAGATTGTAGTGTACAAATTCACATTTATAAATATATATATATATATAGATATATATGAGAAATGTATGTTCTAATGCAATAAAGAGAGATTAAGAATTACACGAGCTGGATCAGTCTCATTATTTACAATCTGTTTCTTCCTTAGATTTTATTGGACATACTTTGGACATGCTTCTGTATTTTAATGAATTTTATTTTGACATTTATCTGTGTGATATGCAATACATCGAGTGACTTTGTGCTGTTTCAGTTGGTCTCCACACCTCAACCTTCTCAGACATGATCGTAGATCTCAAAAGTTGGATTAAAGCTTACAATGTCCACCATGTGATTGCATTGTCAGCCTCATGAGGCAGTAAATATGGTGAAATGCTGTATCTGGCTCCAATCAAACCATTTTTACATCCTTTATTGTTTTTAGTTTAGGTTAGTGATAGCTCTGTTTTCCTGGTGCTGAGTGAGGGTTTGAAAAACCAGAGTTCATTTCTGAAACTAAGAACGGATCAACCTGCCACACCAATGACCACCTGAGGGCGCTGCTGAGCCATCAACTACATGGTATGACTGATCTTGCGCTTCAGTCGACCAGAGGTGGCAAAAGTACAGACATTCTGTACTTAAGTAGAAGTACAGATGCTAGTGTTAAAAATACTCCAGTACAAGTTAAAGTACTGATTCAACTTCTTTACTCAAAGTGAAAAAGTAGCTCTTTGGAGCACGCTTCTATGTTTGTGCAAAGCTAACTGAACCTTGTCCTACATTAAAGTAACAATTAAATAATATTAGTGGGTATAATACTGACTTTATTTCAGTCTAAATTTAATTTTCTAATCAAGGTACTCAGCTTGAATCAGGTAAGTAGAACACCAGCAAAGATGTTGCCTCTAAACAGGAACACGAGTAGGGAAGAGGTTCAGTGGAATTCAGCAGGTGGGGAACGCATAAAGTCAGCTGTAGTGGCTCAGTGTGGGGAAAAGAATCACAACTCACAATCATTTCTATTGAGAGCTCCAGTTTTTTGTTTTTTTTTAGTCTACAAGTTGTGGTCAGCTGGCCTGCTTGTCAGCAGATGCTTCATGAGTTGAGTCCTGGCTGATTTCCATCCTCTTCACTGACAGTACACTGTGTATGCTGTCTTTATACTAGACAGTATACAGTTGGTATGAAGGTCGAATTCAGTAAATGAATCTCAGCATCATCATCTTGATTTTAAATTAATCTCTGCTGCATTTGGTGTAAGCTGCCTCTCACCATGGAACTGCAGCCACTGTGCACCAGTCACACACACTGTTCTCTCCTTTCTTTACTGTTTGGCCACTAGATGGACATGTGGGACTCCAAGTGGCTCAGAATCATACACAGCAGTAAATGTGAAACTGTGCAGCTCAATCTGCTCAGTCACTGAAATGTGTTGTAATTTAGTAATCCACATTTCCATTTACTGTTGATGGTTATTTATGTTACTTTTTAATTCAGTAGGTTTGTTATGATATCTCAGAAATGCTAATCCTACGATAACAAATAAAATATAATCTATATGGTAACGTGATAGTCACGAGCCTTGAAGCCAGTCATGAGCGAGCCTCTTATTTTTATCATACCATTAGGCATGAACCTAAACAGGAAGTCATTAACAGGCAAGCAACATTTAAACTCAAAGCCTCTGCACAGTAGACACACTGTGTAAGCTGCACCCCTCTGGTACAGGTCAGGCATCCTGGGTTTTTTGTCAGACAGGTTCTGTATGATATGTTCATTTCAGAATATTTTCTTTAACCATAAACCACAGTAATTCCAATCTGGTTCTGTCATGGTCCTGGTCTGGTGACCCAGTCCATGTGTTTTTGAGTGTAGTTAATATTTCTTGGTTTTGTATCAGTTGTGGTTGTTGTTACTTTTTAGGCTCTGGGTTTCAGACTGTGTTTATTGGGTTAAAAGGCTATTCTAAGTTAGATTAGTGTCACAGTCCTGGGTTTTTTGACCCAGTGTTTTTGTGTTTCATAGCATTTTGATATTCATTGTTTATGTTTTGTTATATTTAGTCTTCTTTAGCACCTAGGTTTTCTAGTTTTAGTTCTTTGTTCATGTAGAATCACTGTGCCATCTCGCCCTGTGGTAAGTTTGCCTTGTTGATTAGTGTGTCTAATTTATCATGTCTCATGTCTGCGTGGTTTATGTTGTCAAGCCTGTGTTGTCATGTCTGTCCCATCATGTTTCCTGTTTTATTTTGAAAGAGTCTGTTCTTTGTTCATTGTATTTAGTTTTACCTCCCTGTCCCGTCATTAGGTTCATGTGTGTCAGCTGTGCCCTCATGTGTCTCCACTCCCCCTGATCACCTCATGTCTGTATTTAAGCCTCCCTTGATCATTGTCACGTTGTCTGTGTTACGTCCCCATGTTTTCATAGTTCTAGTCATGCAGTTTTCATGTCTTATGTCTGTTTCATTCCCCCAGTCACAGTGTGAAGCTGTTCCCCATCCTCTCATTATTCTGTCTGTGTATTTAAGTCCTCAGTCTCCCTTTGTTTGTTGTTGTGTTCTCTGTGTTGCTGGGTGTCATGTAGTGATGGCCAAATGAAGCTTTCTGAAGCATTGAAGCTTGTATTGAAAAACGGTTCATTACTCGAAGCTTTTCAACACAGTCCTCTCTGGTGACATCTGGTGGCCAAAAATATGAAGAGCAGCTTGAATCCACAAAATAAAACCAACCGCTTCATTATGATTGCCCACTCTACAGAGTGGAATGCTGTCTGATATTGGGCCTCCGTTGTGTTGCTTTGAACGTGTATTTTTTGGTGGTTAAGAAAATGTGTTTTATTTGTTTAATAAATAGTTTTGACCAGTAAACTCTCCTTGTTTAAATATGCACCATTGTGTGGTCTTTCTTTGCTTGTGACTTCTTGATGTTGGTAAATACAATAATTGAAAAATACCACGTTACATATATATACATATAATAATGTAAAACACATTATGGAGTATGCTTCTGCTGTGAGGTCTTGCCTCCATGCAGGTATGCAATTAATCGCCGGAGGATTGTATTTATAAATAATATTATATTAAGGAAATTTTCCCAGACATATTTTTGACCTGGGGGTAGAATTGATTGTGAAATGGAAAAGGAAAATGAACTTGCAAATTAAAAACATGATGCATTTAAGGTAACCCTTTTTCATTTTTATTTAAAAAGAGAATTTGTTCTAGTGTGCGATGGCCGAACCTGTTCCTTTTCGTGGAGATAATTTCTCCTGCCTTAAGGAAAATCCCTTCACATGGAACAGAAGAGGCTGGAGTGCAGAGAAACTGGTAGAGATGCAGTTATACAGTCTACCTGGGCCCCACAAACTATCAGCTAAAGAGAATAAAGAAATTCAATTGCTGCACATTTGGCAGACTAACATTTTCAGATTAATTAAACAATAAAATATATATTTTTACAACATTACATGTAAAGAATCAAGTGGAAGTTTTTGTAAAGTTATTTAATGATATTTATATTATGGAAGCAGATTTTTGACATTTTACCTTTTTCCCGTTTTCAGATATAATAAACACGCACAAAACAAAAGCAAACAGCCAGAACACAAAGCTGGAAAACCCACCCGACTGACAAAAATCAACTCAAAATCCTCCCACACAACAGAACCTCCTCTATTCCTCGCTGGCTCCAAATCTCTCAGTAGAATGATCAGTGGTTCACTGTCACCATCAAAACACTCCACAAATCCCGCGAATGATTCGCTTCCATTGAATCAGACACCGAAGCAGTTAGGCTCTAAATGAAGCTTCGGACGTCACTGATCACGTGACTCTGGCCAAACGAATCAAGCTTCGACACAGAGCTTCTGAAGCAGTGTGTTGATTTTTTTGACACACGCACCGGAGCTTCAGCTTCAAGCGGGCCATCACTAGTGTCATGTGTAGTTCCGTGGTCCCATGTCACGTCATCTATGACCAGTCAGAAGTTTCTTAGTTCTAGTTCATGTTTGGTTTGTTTCTTTAGTATTCATGTATTTTGTTTTCAGTTTGTTTTTTGCCAGCAATAAAGCTGCGGCCTTTGGTTAAGTATTCTGTCTCTGAGTCCTGTGTTTAGGTCCTGACCCAGCCTGCCACACAGCCCATCATGACAGGTTCATTTCTGAATCTAAAGCCCACAGCTGGTATTAACATCAAAATGAATGCAGTTTTCATAAATGTATAAGCTTTGCACTGCACTTTGCACTTTAATATAATGATCTTTGTGACTTTGAGTTCCTACGAAACTTTATCTTTGTGTTTCCACTGAGTTAAAACCCACAGACACATCAGATGAGAGCAACTTAACTTGCTGATAACATGTTTTTTTAAAATAGATTTATATCTTCACTGAAAGCCAATGTGCTCAGAGACTGGAGTCTTTTACTGACAACATTTAGCCTTTTACTCATGCACAAAGCACGAGTTTGCTTAACCTGCATCAGTGCATAGCATTTGTACTGTAATAGCAATCAGTTCAGTTAGTTAAGGTTTTGCTAAAGATGCAACATTAAAGAAAGGAAACCTGACTGATGACAATAGCTGTAAATGAAAAATAAAATACAGTCTCAGGAATGAGTGGCTCCACTGTTATTGTTGATCACCAAGTCGTGAATAAAGCCACACAAAGGGCATTTACTGTCAAAAACTGTTGTCCCTTTTTGTAAACTTTCCTTGCCATCCATCCCCAAAGGTTCTCAACTGGATTTAGATCAGGGGAAGATGCAGGATGGTCCAAAATAGTGATGTTATTCTCCTGGAAGTAGTCCCTTGTCCTGCGGGCATTGTGTACTAAAGCATTGTCCTGTTGAAAAACCCAGTTGTTACCACACAGACGATGGCCATTTGACACTCCTGCACCTCCATTTTTCCACTGAAGGAAAAAGCCCCAGGCCATTATGGCGCCCCCTCCACTATGGGGCGTAGAAAACATCTCAGGTGGGGTCTGTTCTGCTTGTCATACCAGTAACACTGGAAACCATCAGGACCGTCAAGGTTAAATTTTTTCTCATCAGAGAATAAAACTTTCTTCCACCTTTCAGTGTTCCATGTTTGGTGCGCTGTTGGAAAGTCCAAACAGTCAGTTCTGTGGCGTTCAAGGAGTCGAGGCCTTTGAAGACGTTTTTTTGTTTTTGAAGGCGTTTTTTGTTTTTGAAGCCCTTCAGTCTCAGATCCTGTCTAATGGTTATGGGGCTGCAGTCGGCACCAGTAACGGCCTTAATTTGGGTCGACGATTGTTGGACAGCCAATTGGATCCTCCGGCTCAGTGCTGGTGAAATTTTTGGGGTCTTCCACTTGGCCTTTTTGTTCCATAACCCTCAGGATTATTGAAAAAATCCAAAAGACTGTCTTACTGTGTCCCAACTAAGCAGCGATGGCGCGCTGCAAGAGATCCCGCTTATGCAGTTCAACAACCCGACCACGTTCAACAAGGGAAAGTTTTTTTGCCTTTGCCATCAGAATGTCATGATAGTGTGATTACCTGACAGAAAATGACAATGAATCCACATTTTAAGTTCATTTTGTTAACATTTTGTTAAAATCCAACCATGAAAAATATGACTTTTTGCCATTTTTCAAATGGTTTTAAACTTTTGATTGGGACTGCCACCATGGCAACCGTAACGCTGCCGCCTGGAACAACAGAACGTAGCTGTCAAACAAAACCCAAAGTCCTGACCCGCCACAATATGAAACAGGAAAATACCGCCGTGTAATCCATTTATTTCAACTAAGTAACTGTATTCTAAATACCACTTTTTTAAACGGTACCTGTAACGGAATACAGTTACTCATATTTTGTATTTTAAATATGTAACGGCGGTACATGTATTCCGTTACTCCCCAACACTGCTCAAGAAATATTCATATATGACTGAATATTTAAATGTGATGTGAATTCTCTATCTTAAGCAGAGATGGGCAGTAATGCGTAATCTGATTACTTTTTTCAAGTAACGACTAAAGTAAGGGATTACTATTGCAAAAATGGTAATTAGATTATCGTTACTTTCCCGTAGGAACGCTGCATTACTGCGTTACTAAAACCGTGATTTTTTTGCGAGAATGTCTCATGACAGGGACGTAAGCGAGTGCGCCGTTAGTGACAACAGCTGTGTGCAGATCAACAGTGGATCATATATCGAGTGCGGGAGAGAGTATGAGCGTGCAGCGTTTAAAGCATGGAAGTACTGACCTTACTTTGAGATTGATTCCATAAAAAGTAACAAAAACATTAGCGTCCGCTGTGCGTGGGAAGAAAACCCCTAAATAAGCACCGAGTAGCTACGACGTAATGGGAAACTCACAGAGAAACTCGCGGATTCTTCAACTGACCGCTGCGGCACACCTGCACCAGGGTAACCCTCCGCCTACCCCACTCCTGCTTTACAGGTGAAAATAGAGCAACAGGACCGCTGAGTCTTTGATGTTATTTATTTTCTGCTGTGTTTTACTTGCATCTATTTGAAAGAGTGAGTGTAAACACAAAAAATTATTTTATTTTATGTGCTGGAATGTGTAGAAAATAGGTTTCAATGTTAAACTAGTTTCTTCAAGTCAGAGAATGTTGCATATAATTAAATTTTTGCTTGATGCATAAAGTTAAAAGATTAAAACTAATAAAACAAGTTTTAAAAAGAGACTTTTCCATTTGATTACATTTTGTATGATGGATTATGTAGAAAAAGTAGAACTGGGCTGAAAGATCTATCGCTTTATCACCTCTTCAGGTTGTAAATCGTGTTTTTAAAAAGTAACTAAGTAATTAATTACTTTCGAAAATAAGTAATCAGTAAAGTAATGGGATTACTTTTTTGGGGAAGTAATCAGTAATTACTTACTGATTACTTTTTTCAAGTAACTTGACCAACACTGATCTTAAGAACAACAAAGGAAATGGAATGACGTGACCTTAAAGTTTAGACTTTTTGTTAAATCATGTAAGTCAGAGATAGTCCAGGCTTCTAAACCCATCTCAGGTGGTCAAGTACCACAATCGAAAGGAGAGCTGCCTGACTGATATAATTTGACCTGCAAGGTTCAGATTTCTTCACATCAGGGAAAGCAAGAAGACACCTGGATTGAGACCAGGGATCAGGATCAGGGACTTTTTTTTTTATTAGAGAGCCGAAACTAAGGATCATGGGTGCATAAAGAGATGCAAAGTTTTAATAACACGTGCTGCTGTAGCATCAGTGGGTAGATCAGAGGAAATGCAAATAACCTTAAAGAGTTTCATACAAAAATGAATGAGAGATGGCATAAATAAAAATTCAAATTCAAATTTAAAAAGTTACAAACATTTGGATACATTATTTGCATGTAGAAACAAATGAATATTAACTGGTGATCATAATTACAAGGAAGGGAAACCAAAACACTTTTAAGATCTCGATGAAAAAACAATTGAAAAAGAAAAGAAAAATGTGTTTAGTACTGGAATAAAATGAGTGTTTAAAAGTGATTATAAAGTAATTTTGAAATTATTTACACAAAAAGCGTGGCTGAGATGCAGATATCAGCTGTTGTTTGCTTGATTTATCAAAAAACTCTGACACTCTGATATCAACTCTTCCCCCTCTTTTGCTCTCCTGACTCAGTTTCCATCACCACACCTCTCACTGCTGCCGTCAGTCACACCGATGAGCACAGACATGCCAGCAGCCTGTCAATGCGCCCCTGCTGCATGAAAAGACACAAAACTAAGTCCACAAAAGGACAGAGCAAAAAGAAGATCCAACTGATTTCAAAAAGAATACGTTCATTAGGAAAGCTGGATATGGGAATCATCAGTACAAAGTACTTAAAGAACAACAGAATTAAAATTCCTAGACTTCTACGTTTCTCCTGAGTGGGCACTGAGGTGGCAGCAGGCAGGGCTCTGAAGGTCCGAGCTAAGCAGAAGATGAACAGGGGGCCAGGGAGGGCAGTATAAATAAGTAAATGTATGAACTGATGTAAAACTATGGCAAGAGGGAAACTGACAATACAAAAAGCCCAGACAAGGACACAGAGCAGCACAGAACTCTTAGGTTGTCTGAGGCAGTCCAACAGTGGGAGTGTGATGAAAAAACACCTGCAACACAAGAGAGACACAAATTCTGACTGTCATAGTACAAAAAAAAAGGTTTATGACTGTGAGGATTCTTCACAGTACAATATGATGTTCATAGAAATGCAAGGACGCACACATTAAAAGACAGAGCGGTACCTTTCCAGAGCAATGCACACCTTGAAGTAAAGACCGACCATCTCACACAAGTTGTAAATAATACCACTCATGCTGCTTTCCACTCTTATGATCCAAACGATCATTATGCAGATCCGGATTAGATTGGAGAGGAGGAGGTTTGTGTAATAGATGACAGGGACCTGACTCCTTTGCATCTGAAGGAAAAATAAATTATTATAAGACATTACACATTGAATCTAAGGGACTATTTACTTCATTTACTTACCACACAACACACATAGTAGATGATCAGTACGGTCAAAGGAAGCCAGACACACACGTGAATCCACATCACCACTTCAAGGAAATATCGCTCATGTTGATAACATTTTGTTATCGCATTTGTCACTATGTATGATCCAAGATGTCTGATGTAAAACACTTTTGTGAAGCACACAGGTGGTGGTAGAAAAAACAAAACAGCAGGTTAACATTGTTCTTATGTTGACATGAAATTGTGGATGAAACTGATAAAGAAGAAGCAAAACCTGCTGAACTGATGTAACAAATCATAAAATAATAAAAAAAAGGACAAAACAAGGAAGAGCATACACAAGAACGTGTCTGTATGCCTGTAAAATTAAGATTAATTAATATATAATTAATATAATAACTTTAAAGTCAGGTAAAATCTACCTTTCATTATTTCAGTTAACTTGTTTAAATGTGAATAAAAGTGATTCAGAAATTCCTTTTAAATTGTTAACAAATAAAGACAAAAACACCTCTATATAACTTTAAATAATCCTCATGGATATTCAAGGCAATTCATTTCATATAATGACTTCAGCAGGATCAAACACCTGTCCTCTTTAAAACTGTATTAAACAAAGATGTGAACACAAATATCCGATTTTCTCTGTCAAATAAAAAGTACAGTAAAGCTGCACATTTACATCCTCTGCATTCACACAGAAGCTCACTGCACGCACAAAAGAAAAGTTGGTAGTACTATGACTTCCACATGCTGTCTGAAAATGCTGATTTGTTTTAATTATGAGCCAGTTTCTTCATAACTATGTTGCTCTTCAAGTAGAAATAATATGAATTAGTATAAGCTTTGCTCTTACTTGTCTCAGGACTGCTTCCAGCTGAACCAGTGGGTGAAAACTGCAATATGACGAATTTGTCTTGAACGAGGAAATTGTGGTAACACTTTATGGACTCCACCCTGTACTCACTGGTGTTCACACTGACAACAGCCAGTCAGGATAAACTTAAAGCTTCTGCACCATAGACACAGTGCTAAATGCAGTGTGTACACACGTTTAGCTTAGCTTTTCTAAAAACTGCAGTTGGCAGTTTATTTGAAACCATGTTTGTGACTTTATGAACTCTTTACAAGTTCGATCTTCCTTTTTCCACTACAATAAAATTTCACAGACCCAACAGAGCAGGTGATGTGGCAGCAAACACCAAGTTGATAACATGGGTTTTAAATGTGCAATCTTCAGTGTGAGAGCACTTGTGTCAAAACAAGTCTATAGAACATTTCCACCTTTAACACAAGCACAACTACACAAAGCAAAAGGACTGATACTTACATAGTGCTCTTCTGCTTTATTTGAACACTCAAAGCACTTTTTTACAAGCCTCATTCACCTAGTCTAACACACCCCCCCCCAACTAACACAAATGATATGTTCACCTGTTATTAAATCATTTACTCAATTATTATTTATGAAGTCTTTATTTATCCTTAGCCAGGTGCTGATGTCTCTAGCCTCACATTTCCTAAAACACAATCACCAATAGTGCGAGTTTGTTCCTCAGGGAGTGTGTCACAGAGTGGGGAAAAAGTGGCTAGAAACATGAACTGGTTGGTGGTGTACCGGGGATCTAACTCGCTACCGGATTTTCCAGGCAGGTCTACAATTACAGAGTGCAGTGCACCACAAAGGAAATACACCAAAGACAAATGATTGAATACATATCTAACAAGTTACTACCAAAAAAAAAAAAAAAACTGTGGACAATTTATTGTCCCTCTTCAACTGTAAACACAGAATAGTCAAACAGATTCACCGTCACACAAACCTCTAAAACACCATCCTATTTTCAACCCTGTGTCTCCATCTAGTGGCTAAAAAATGGTGATGGTTCAAATGTTGTCACATCTTTCTGCTGACAAAGATAATGATTTCACTGTGTTTTTTTCCACGATTTAAGGGAGAGATAAAACCACCTGGCCCTACAGAATACAACCCCCCCCCTCCCCCCCCAAAATGAATGAAAAAAGTTGACAGTGACATAAAGCACAGAATCAAATAGAATATGACCAAAGTTTTTGCAAGAATAAGAAAATATAGATGTATATTTAACATACTGCAATGTGTTTGCAGAAAACTGAAGTTACTATAGGCCACAGGTGTCAAACTCCAGGTCTCGAGGCGGTGTCCTGAAACCTTTACAGGTGACATGTGACTCAATAAATCAGAGGAAATACAAATGTTACCGTGAGAAAACAATTAATACAATTTTAAACTGAAATTGGAAAAAAAAAAATCCCCACTGGCCCGTCTTTATCCTTCTAGATTGGGCATCCTGTGCAGGATCTTTGCTGTTCCTAGAGATGTTGTTCCTGGGATCTGTTGGAGGCATGCCCCCAGTTTTAGGGTCACTCCTCCGGGTGCTCAGATTAAAGTTTTTGATCCAATTCCCCTAGTGTTACCAGCAGTGGTAGCACAATTGGCCTTTGGAATTTCAAGCCAATTCAATTTTTTTACTCATTTTCTTTAGTCAATTTCACCTCTGGGTAAATGTCTTCCTTAAATAGAAAAATAGGGGCAGGCAGCACTGCTGCCAAGCCCCTTCGTTTAGAATGAGTCTGATTTACTAACATATGTACAATCGTGCACACATTTCCTAAATCTGACAATGATTTTATGCACAAATTTTACATTCCATACACATTTTAGTGAATGAGGGTTCTAGTGAAATAGATTGTTTGCTTGCTTTCTCAGCCTCTCTCCTGCTGTGTTCTCCTCTTATTCTCTTTTCCTTTCCTTGTTGACATGAACCCACTCGTGTGTGCTGCCATCACTCACACTGATGATCTCTTGCTGGATCTGCTGCAGCAGCACAGACATGCCAGCAGATTTTCAACTGGACTTCTACACATAATGACAAACAGAATCAAGATCTCAAAAGAATTGAGCAGAGAGAAGATGGAAATGAAGTAACTGTCAAAAAGATATGGTTCCAAAACTATTAGGATGATTGTAGGTATGATAATCAGACAGTAACTAACCAACAACAGAACCAAAGTTCCTATAATTCTTTGTTTTTCCTCACTGGGGACTGAGGTGGCATCAGGCAGAGATCTGAGAGTCCCAGCTAGACAGCAGATGAACAGGGGAGCAGGAAACAAGGCAAAAATAAAGATGCGTTCAGACTGCTCTAATAATACTCCAAGAGGGCAACTGAAAACACAAAGGGTCCAGACCAGAAGACAGACCAGCACAGAAGTCTTGGTTTTTCTGATGAAGTCCAGCAGGGGGCAGGCGATGAAGAAATACCTGCAACACAAGACAGATACTCTGCATATCACAGTTCAGAACCATAAGGATGCTTCATTTACAGTACAAAGCGCACACACTGAGACAAATAGGTACCTTTCCAGAGCAATGCACATCTTGAAGTAAACACTGGCCATCACACCCAACAGGTAAAAAACTGAAGCAATGCTGGAGACTGTGCGGTCATTTGGTTTTGCTTTTGTCATGTTGAAGGCGCAAATCTTGATCACATTGGAAAGGATGAGGTTTATGTAATAGATGACAGGGACCTGATTCCTTCTTGCCTGCAGGAAACATGTATTTAAGTCAAATTAATGAAGTAAAAGGAAGACTCAGTATAACAGTGTTTGTACTGGATACTGGGACAGCAGGCTCAGTCCATATCAGTTTATGGAAGTGTTCTTGTCTCTGTATCTGATAGGTCTTGATGGTTGGGTTGCTTCCTGGTTTACTGTGAAGGTCATTTTCTTTTGTGTCCTTTGTTAGTTTTACTTCCTGCCTCGGTCTCTATTCAATCAAATAGTGTAGGATGTGTGTTTCTGATTTACTTTAGTATTACGTTAATTTTTTGAGGTTATCCATTGTAAACAAGAATCAGTGCTTAATGTCCATGCAACAAATAACTAATGATTTTTTTAAATTATTATAAATCAGCTTTTAAAATAATCTCAAAATTATTCACATGCTGACATAAAAACATATGAAAGTAATTTACTATTTACTTACCACACAGCCCACAAAACAAAGGACCTGTATGGTCAAAGGCAGGCAGTCGAAAACATAGATCCATGCAACCATAACTATGATGGGCAGCATCTTTTTCCAGCTTTCAGTGATGAAATTGCAGTAAAAAACTTTTTCTTCAGAGAAAAATATTGTTTCTGGAAAAGGCAGCATGTTAACACTATTAGAAAAGAAACAACGGATGAAAAGAAGAAACAAGGCCTGGTGAACTGACAATGTAACTATGATAGAGCTCAATGCTATATATGTCTGAACTACAGCTGACCGGAGTTTGCTCAGTTTGATTTATGTTCAGACTTCTAAAGGAAATTTATTTTTTTTAATGATTCAGAAATTCCACATTATTCCACCAAGAACAGTGAAAACAGAAAATTCCCTCTGCAGTTTCAGTAAATCTTTATTTAATTCTTGAAAGCAAACTCGATTCACAAGAATCAAACTTTTTTAGGAAGTAAAAAAGTAGCGCATTCATCCAGAAGCTCACTACAAGCACAAAAGAAAAGAGTGTAACTTTGAAACTTCAGCAAGATATCTGATGTAGGTCAGTTTTCTCATAATTTGCTGCTCTTCAAATAGAAATAATGTGAATATGAGTGATAGGAGTCGTCTGTATTTACCTCAGGACTGCTTCCAGCTGAAAACTGTAAAAACTGTAATTTGATAATTTTTGTCTTGAGTCAGGAAGTTGTGGCAGCTTACATTATACCCCATCCCCTGACTCGCTCTCTCTCTCTCTCTCTCTCTCTCTCTCTC